CAATCTAAGCCTATTCTGACTCTGAGAGCCTGTTAGCAGAGCAGCCCCATGATTGTTTACCTTAATATAATCAATGGATTTAAATTGTAAACTGTGTCAGTGTGCATGTCACACCTCCAAAGCTATGAAGCTAAAGCAACAGGGAAGGAAACTTTGACCATGTAAGTAGGAATAATTTTTAAACATGGTGTGTCTAGCTAAATATTCTTAGCAAAGCTGTTAATGGATTAATGGGTGAAAAATTATGTTTCACATATTTGTTCATTATTAACTCCACTAATCAATTCAATAAATAAGTTTTGACCACTATTTGATATCACTAAAAGACATTGCTATTATTCATAAAAATATGTCGTTTGCTCAGAACATCAGAAGACATCTTAGTGATCATTCTGACATCCATATAAAAGAAGTCAGATTTTTGCTTCATGCATTTTAGACACACCTAGTATATTTGGCATCACTTTTTCTTGGAAGACGGAAGGAGACTGCAAAACCAAGGATATAAATTTTATTGATCAATCTCAAACTTCTGGAAAATTGATCAATAAAATTCCATATTTAGCAGCATAAATTTCTGCTTCATGACAAGATCAGTACTTGTGCAGACACAGAAATGGCCAAAGTAGAAACTTACAGCAGCACCACAAAACAAGTACTTTAAGAAATAATGACTCTCGGAGATCATGGTATTACTCTCACATTTTTTATAGTAAAAGTGTGTAATTTTTCTATTTCAAGATTTTGTCACTGCAATTCCCATCTTTCCCAGAATGTTATAAACTTATCCTTAGCTTTTCTGCATTTTCTGAAAATCCTCTTCCTGCAAGATTTCCACTACCCCCCACCACTGCAATCAACTGGTTTAACCAGTTTCCAAGAGAAAGGCTGGTGGGTAGTCAGGGCAGGGACAGAGAGCTGCCACGTCAACAACAGGAATTGTTTAGGGTTTTATCACCACCATCTGCTTTTCTCCCTGTTGCAGAGGCTGCAGCCCTCTGCCCCTGGAGCAGAGGGAGCACCCACCTGGTCCCTTGCAAAGGTGGGCAGCTTCACCTGGAGTGCTACAGCTGCAGGTTTAAGCCAATGCTGTGACTGGATGTGAGAGGAGCATTAACTACTCTGTATAAATATGTGGATGTTAAAGCCAAAATGATGCGACTGGCCTTCTCCCTTGGCAAGGGTAATGCTGAGCATCAGCAACTTAACTCCACAAAGGGGAGTAATAACAGTAACAGCATTTGGGTAGAAGCCTTTTTCTGAAGCTCTGTAATGGCTTCTATGCTTTTTATTTTTGAGATGCTCTGCATGCTGCAAAGGGCAAGAGAGCCAAGAGCTAATATGTACCTCCCCTCCGGAAACAGCCTGAGTGTTCTCAGAACAAGCTTCGATTTTCAGGCACTGAAACAATAAACCCCACTTAAATCCTCTGCTCGTACAGAGCTGCTATCCAGTGTCTATCAATTTAAAACACTTTCAAAGGCTGCTCTGGGAGGACTGGGACTGTGCCCATGCCCAAAAGAGCACACTGTTTTTGACACTGATTACATTTACCTTGGATTCTTAAGAAGCCTTTGGGCTGACAGCATTAAAAAAAAAAAAAAAAAATTGCCAATACCAAGGCATGCTGATTTGTTGGAGCAGCAACTGATCATTTCCATACTTGTTTTACTATTCTCAATCTTCACTATTCAATCCAGCCTGAATCCTCAGAATGAGCCTGAGAAACACAGGACCGGAAGCAAAGGCAAGATGTTTCTGAATCTAAGATGCATCTTCTCATCCTTTCAGAACCATATGATAAATTTTAATCAAATTCATTTAAAAAGTGGTCAGGTTATTATTTCCCTTTCCCATAGCATATATAAACTTATGTGAAAGCTGTTATGTGAAAGTTGACTGCAGGTATCAGGCTCTCTTTTTTGACCCTTATATCCATTTATTATGTTTTCTTTTCACAGCTTATGATCCCCTCTCTGACCACGTATTTGTGTAAGAAGCATGGTCTAAGAAAAATGGTTGGCAAGAAAATAAAGACACCAAACTCTTGCTTTAATCAAACCAAGCATCTCTTCATCCACTGAGCTTGTAATCTTTGCACTAGGACAATTATGCAGATAAAGAAAAATTATCACAGCCTATTAGGGAAGAGGTAATGATGGCCATTTGAAAGTTGAGTGCAATTAGAAATGCGTGCTGATTTGTAAGGTAGTTAGTCCTCAAACACACTAAGTGCAATCCTGCTAACAAGGCCATTAACAGCTTCTGCAACCCTCCTCTCCTTCATGTCTAATATTGTCAGATTGCTGGTGACAATCTAGTAACACATTTGAAGTCATTTATATGAGCTTTTAAATTTTTTTTTTAAAAAACCCTAGAACAAACCAATTTCTTTTCTGTTCACCCAGAAGAATCCATTGCTGTAGTTGCCTTCCAAAGTACAGGCTGTGTATACTACATCAGATCCATAAAATCTCTTCAGTACAATGGTAGGCAGTCCTTGTTTTCTACCTTGCACCTGAGTACCATTTTCTCAGGTAAGAACAGGCATTTATGGAAAAAAAAGTCACTCTGTTGAGTAAAGGTGAATTTTATTGAAGTGATGGCCACATGAAAAGGCCACCAAAACCATATTTCCAAACAAAATACTTATCTATCCAGACTAGCAATTCTGAAATTACTACAACAAATATATGTTTATCTCTTCATACATTTGGTTTCTCAGCTTGTGAGTGGAGACTGCTATTTGTAAGACTTCTAAGTGAGATATTTTCACAGTACCAACAATAGTACAACTAGCAGGCAGTTTAGGAGGTATTGGTGCACTGGGTGAAGCTAAGGCATAAGCCAAATGAAGCATGTATGTTTAATCTGGCTTCAAAGTCACTTAGTACAAAGTAAGGAGAATTTTTAGGCATTCCTCCACAATTTCATAATAGATTATCTCTTATCACAGCAAATAGATGGAGGGAGATAGATAAAGAAGATTTAAATCTAGAAAATAATATAAGCCTGTATTCTCACAGTTCTACTTTGGGGAAGGAGAGTCATGAAAGAAAAAAAGCAACCTTACTCTCCAGTGTATAATTTTTAACATGGTTCCCTTTGGCTATCCTGAACCCCACATTCAACTGGCCACATCTATACAACAGCCTGACAAGTTCTGATGTTCCTGTCTTTCATCTTTCAGATGAGTCTCCCTTCCGGATAAAGGCAAAATGAAAGACATAAAACCCATTTCTAAGTCAGCATTAGAGAGCTGAAAATTCAGCCACAGTGCAGGTTTGGGAACGCTGAATCACTCCCATTTTTGGTTTTTACTTAATATATAATCTGTATAGTGACAGCAGAATTACTATTATTATTATTATTATTTTTATTATTATGCTCTCCTAATGCTTGGGCTGAAGGAAGGCTGTTAAAAGATAAAAAATGGTCCTAAGCTCATAAAGATTTTGGGCAAGGCTGATATTTTCTGTGAAACATTCTAATAAATGTGGCACTGTAAAGAAAACAAAAGGAACCAGAAAGCAAAGTCAGCACAGTGCTCTTCCAAAAAAGAGCACCACAGTATATCAAGAAGCAGCAGTACTAGTTAAAACTTTAAACTGTTTTTTGAAAGCAAATCACAGCTACAATGCTGTACATTAAAATGCATATATCTGACATATAAAAAGTTCTCTATGCAAAAAAATCCTGTTTCCAGTTCACATGCTTCTATGCCATTTACTCAACTGTCTTTTAAACTTTATTTTCTTACAGTCAGTTTACTGCCATATAGGTAAGTTCTGGCAATCTTAGCTACAGAAAACAGTTTAGTAACAATTATTAAAATATTTTTATACTAATTAAGATCTCTCTTTCATTGTAAAAAATATATTAATGCAAGTTGTTCACTCCATTCGTAAGTACGGTACTCAAGTTTTACTAAAAACAGTGAGCATGCAGCTCAGACTTGAAAGAAGTGAATAAGCAACTGGTATTTCATACAGCCAGTGATACATGTTACTTGCACACCTTTATTCACAGCTTACAATGTTCAATAATTTACAGTTCTGAAATATGTGCATTTTAAGAGGAACTTGTCACAACTCTTAAGCAATAGCAGAGACTAAATCAGGTCAGCAGCAAACGGAGTGTGAACTGAGACAAAGCCATTCCCTTCTACTCATGTGCTTCCATTGTTAAAGTCACAGCAGGAAGATGACTAGCACTTATTTTTATACATGTTTTAAATCTCTCCTGTTGCTGTTTTGGCATTCTTCTGAGTGACATTACCAAATCCAGCTGAATAAGGAGCTGGAATCCAGCATCCAAGATCTGGTCCAAATCATTCCAAAGGCAAATGCAAGAAAGCCTAAACACAGCCTCCTGCTTGCTACCTACAGACACCTGAAAGACTTGTCCCTCACACTACTGTTGATCAGTTCTATGTTCTGAAAGTTCCCAGAGGATGCTTTCCCCAGCAGCACAAACCATAAAGGTTCCAGTTAAAATATATATTGGAAGGGAAGAAAATAGAAGTGCCTAAAACAGTGGAAAGGAATTAAAATACCTAAATAAAGCCTGTTTGCTTTGTTGATTGTGTACTGAAATATATGCAACAAGCAAAAAATTAAACCAAAAGCAAACTCACTGAACAGTTTATTCTCAACATGTTGTTGCCATTCAGCTGTTCATATGTTCAGATTAATCTCAGTCTGAAATAAGGCAATATTAAAGGAACAAGCATCTTTTCCTCAGAGCTAAGGTAGATAGGAAAGGAAGAGCCCTATTTAGTATTTGTATGGGTACCAGGGAAAGACTCTCTGTAAAACAACAGAGAATATGAAAATATGAGTGAAAAAGAGAGAAAAACTCTGGTTTAAACATAAGCAGGATTCAAACATGTGTATGCTTTTTAAAACCTTACAAATAAATTAAGATGGAGAAAGGCATTATGGACTATATAAGGGAACAGACAACTGAAGGTAAAAAGAGGCGCTGTGTTGATAATAGAAGAAGAGATGGTAGAAATTTATTTTTCTTGGGAAAAACCTATAACATTCTGTTGAGTAACCTGGAACAGAGACCATCTCATCTGTGCAAATATCTGCGCAAACAATGTACACACACAGGTAATGGAGAGAGTAAGATCTTCAATCATTAGAACATTTGAAAAATGCATCTATTGACAAAAGCTTCATTCTTTTCCCTCAGAAGTTGATGTTATGACCTGTGGGCTCAGATGCATTCTTTAGTGTCTTCACTATGACTAAGTCAGTGTGAGTAGTCTTGTCATCCAATTAGAGACATTGTTACAGTAATGGAACATTTTTTCCTGGTCTTTTCCACAAACTTCCAAGCTCAGATTAAAATGCCCTAGCTCAAGCCCTTTCTCATAAAGCTTCAGCTCACTTAGGACCTCTAAGTCTTGGAGTACTATCCTAAGGCCTCCATAGACGCCATTAATCTCTGTTATAGTACCATGCCCAAGTGTGACAAGCACTGTATTTCATACAGATTTTTGCACCCTCTACATTTTGTGAACGGTTGCCTTCATGTTCTGCAAAAGCAAAATAATTTAAGAAAGACAACAACTTTAAAGCAGAAAATGCCCTGTTTCTTAAATATCTTACATTTTGTAGCCTTCACAAGAGAGGAAATAATTTTAAATTTCTTAAATGTGCAGAGAGTAACACTAACCATATAGATTAGCTAGCTGACAGTGATATGTGAAAGCAACTGTAAACACTTTTAAATGCTTAAAATCTAAACTCTAGTTATTCCAGTTAATATAAGGTCAAACTTTTTAACTGATATCAAAAGAACTATCACAGGTTGACAAATTCTGTTTCCAAACTATTTGCAATGAATTTGTCACTTCTCATAGTTCTTATTATCTGTTTTAATATTTTCAAGAAAAATAGTTCACTGTTGCCAGAGCATAACATAGGACCATCTTTCAGAGCTACTGCAGGCTTCTTTCTTAGTGGAGCCTAAAAAGCTGAAAAAAACCACACAAAAATAAAACCCTGTAGTTCAATGATACAACACCAACAGATCTACAGTAAGATTTCTCAGTTTTGCAGTTGTGGAATGTTTTTAAAGATGCAGTGTTTCCACTGTTTTATCGAAGTCCTGACCAGCTGTGGAGGTACGAAGCCCACCCAGAAGGCCGTGAGGTACTCTCTTCTTCACCTGCAGGAGGAAGAAAAACATACTTTATATTATGTTAGACATTTATTATGTCAGACAGTACATCATTTAGTTACACATCCTTGCCCCCTTTCCTTGCCTTCATCCTTTTTCAAATGCTGCCCTCAAGCTTGGTGAGAAAGGAATTCACTCTTGGGCTGCCATAGACATGGATTGTACCACCAAATCCACTTGACTTTGAGTACTTAAGAATGTCTGAAAAAGGTAATTTATCACTGTTCTCCAGAAAAATCCAATCAGTCTTCATTAGAGGGCCAGAACAACATCAACATGCTTTTAACTTAACTTACATCTTGTTTTTCCAAATGCACAGCCTATCATGGGATGCAATACTTGAACACTTCCCTTTTTAATGTGATTTTGTTCACAAGTTTTAAGTTCTGATATGTACATGCGTTGCTTACTGTTTATATTAATTCTAAGATAAGGTATAGGTCAGTTGCTAATGAAGTACAAGAAGCTACAGTTACTGTCATTGAGAAGTGACAAACAATACCTTAAAGAGCATTTAAGAGAAAAAATGCTGCTGAAAGTGTCTGAAGCAGAAACAGAACACTACTGTACACACAAATCCAGTGTTTATTTCTTGCAAATGCCTATTTTATGTCCTTCCCTAATTCCTTTATTTCTTCAATGAAGAGCATATTTTAAGATATTTTTAAATGTATTATATTGAAACTAATAATATATCTGCAGTACTGCCTTGAGAGGACCACTTTAGTTATCTGTTTAGAACATCTGCAAAGAAAATAATTCAACTATATAAACCTCTATTTTGAGAATTTTTTTAAACTCTATTCAAAACATGAACACATTAAAATTTTCAACTTACCACTGTCTTCCTAAATGTGAATGTTTCAGAAGAAATTATATTTTATGTCAATTTTATGGTACTTGTTCTGTTTATTGAAAACTGAATAGTAACTTCCTGACAAAGAGAATGGTTTTATGACTGGTTCATTGGCATTATGATACTAAGTTTTGTTTTTTCTCAAAGGTCTACGCAACAGACAGCACAGAACTATATCTTTCCCTTTTCACTTTTCCTCTTTTATGTGACAATATTTTGAACATCACCTACCTTGGGCAATTGCAACCAACTTCCCCTTCTCTTCAGGGCTGAGCTGCAACATGGTGTCTATAACTGGGAGCAGCCGTTCCTTCTCGCTTCCTGATTTCAGAAATATGAACTGCAGTAGAACATTCTTCAAGTATTCTAGATTAGCCACAGACTTCTCTCTCTCTTGATTTCTTTCCAATCTTCTTATTTCATTCTTAAGAAGCTGCAGATGAGAAAAAAAAAAAGTAATAGTGCTTGCCTCACTTAATGAGTAATTGAACAAAGGTCTTTTAAAAAGCTAAAAAATGAATTGTGCAGCTTGCTTCAAAAAGAATAATGCATGTTTAGCAACATATTCAGGACAAAAATTCAGTGAAAATAAAATATGTGATAATGTTGTAAGAAATAACTTATTGACTAAAAATACCCTTTTGGGATAAAGTTTGTGCAGTATAGAGATACAGTATCAGTGATAAAATAGTAGTAACAATGGAACCATTGAATAACTCAGAAATCTGATTATATTAATTTAAAAGCATATTACAAAAGAAAGCTTAGTACATATACAAATGTCTTCAGAAAGCTCACTCATACATTAGTTCATGTGTCTTCTTTTAACTTAAGACAGCTAAACAGGCTACAAGAACAGGAACCAGACAATGCTTTACTTGGGAATTTCTGCTTTTATCTAAGAGAAAATAGTACAGACCCTTTACTTCCCAACTCAAGAAGTTTTTTGTAGAAGCTTTTACTCCTACACACTTCTCTCCCACTTCCCCTCAGCCAACTAGAAACTGTGGTGGAAAAAACCCCAAAAAACTGAAGTATACTCTAGAAGCACTAATTAGACCTGTGGAATAAAAGGCCCTCTCAAATTAAATTATACATCACCAAATTTTATACACTGGGATTTTCTGACAGATATTTGGTCTAAGAAAGAGACCATGGAAATTAGAGCTGTCCTCACACCTCTTGTGTGTCTGCTAACCTTTATTTGTTCCATTAGGATTGCATTGGTTGCTTCTGATTCACGGAGTAATTCATTCAAGTGATCAGCACTCTTAGTTGTTGTGTTTAGTTTCTGAATCAGCTCATCCTTGCTGAGATCTGCTTGCCACTGAGATGGTTCTGCAATTAATTGGAAAAGAAAACTAAGAGAAGGAAAAAGCACTTGCATCGACTTCATACTAACTTAACACAACTTGATTAATGCAGTTTCTTATGAACAGAATTCATGCAAAGTCAGAGTGCAGACTTAACAGGCACCAGTGCTGCTGCTGCATGCTTATTTTCTGATCTATTTCTGTTTATATATTAGAAGGAGGCTGGTAAAATAGTGCTAGAGTACCTTGAGATATCTGGTTTAAACTTATTCCTTATTTTCTACCCATAAATGGAGATTTTCAATATTTATCCATGAAGTATTCAGCAGACTTTTAAAATATGATTATATGCTACCATGTATTTTTCCAGTTTTTGAGGACTCCTAAAACATTATTTTTCATGCTGGATTTCACTTTCCTAGGAAAAAAAAACTTATGAATAAAGTACTGTTCTAATAAGCCTCATTAAGATAAAGAGAAATTTTATCCTTTCACTAACAGGGTCAAATCAGCACTTAACTGTCCCTAGTAGAGACTTATCCAGAATACAAAAATTTCTGTAACAATTCACTGACTTGCTCACCAGTCTTTTCCCTTTAAAAGCACAGAAATTCGACATCTTTAAATCTCTAAAACCTGTAGAAATGTCCTACTGTAAGTCCTTAATCAATGACAAAACTCCTACAAAAGTTCAGGACAGTGTAAACTCAGTGGCACTTGACTAGGCTTGTCTTGCACCTACAATCATGAGAACACAATGATCTAAAAGATTTTGAGGTCATGAGCTTCTGCCACCTATGTAGGCAAGCACTCCTGACAGCCACGTCCTACCTACCAGGCTTTGCTTCTGGTGAGTTCAGCAGTTGCTCCAAGGACTGCACATAGGTGCTGGCTGAGGACACAGACTCTGTGTCTGTTGTTTCCATACCTTCTCCCTCTTCCCTAGCCACAGTGTGCACATCGAGCACAGGAAGGTCAGTGCTCCGCCGCTCTCTCAAGGTCTTCGTTGCTGGATTTGAAACAGCTGGACCTGAAAGATACTTACTGATGTTCATATCAGAATGAAATTGAGAGGGCTATTTCCTAGGTGTGACTGTCAGGGATTGAGAGTGGTACATAAAATAGTCTTCAAAATGCCTGGGAAGGTGAAGCCAAAAGAAAAAGCCAGCTATGCACATAACATTTGTAATAGTAAAATACAGCCTTTCACCTCTGAATGGCCATTCCAATCAAAGTCTAGTTCTAAACTTGACTAGCAATTTTTATTTCACTGACTGTGAAACCTTCATGCACATCTGCCTGAAGATGTGTTTTAGTTACTGTAAGAGTAACAAGTATCTTTAATGGAAAACAATTTGCTTTTGTTTCAACCAGTCCTGTGGGAAGTGTAAATTCTTCTGTTTTATTACTGTGTGCATGACCCCTCTACTTCAGTAATAACAGAGCAACTTCTTAAACTGCTACTGCTGCTTGGCAAATGCCCAACTACATCCTGATTAGTGACTATACAGATACGAAAACAGCACTTGAGATTAAAGATAGTAAAATCTTAAACTGGAAGAAGGATCAAATAGCAAGTATAATAAAGAGCATGTATACAAATAAAATTCTTAAAACAGCTTCCAAAACACTTTTCTTTAGCTTTACACTTCATACTTGAGGCAGATGTCCAGCATGCTCCAAAACCTGAAACATGACAAGAATACCAAATATTTTCAAAGTAGTTTCCCTCCATGTGTCTGATACTGCAGAACAGGTATCAGCAGTGCAGATTCTAGAACAGAATTAGTTCCAGTTGGAAGTGACCTACAACAAGTATCTAGTCCAACTGCCTGACCGTGTCAAAAGTTTAAACATTATCAAAGGCATTGTCAAAATGCCTCTGTTTCAGGCATCAATCAAATCAATCAATGGGAAGCCTGTTCCAGAGGATGACCACCCTCTCAGTAAGAAAATGCTTCCTAATGCCCAGTCTGAACCTCCCCATGGCAGCTCTGAACCAATCCCACATGTCCTACCACTGAATACCAGGGAGAAGAGCTCAGCACTTCCCTCCTCACTTCCCCCACTCAGGAATCTGTAAGACAGCCATGAGGTTGCCCTCAGCCTGCTTTCCTCTAAATTAGACCAACCCAGAGTCCTCAGCTGCTCCTCATAGGACACTCCTTCCTGCCCTTAACACCACATTTGTTGACCTCCTCTGGATGTATTTAAGGACCTTAGGATTCTGAAGCAACAGTAAATAATAACAAAGATGTATTCCTGACTTGGTATCTGTGGACTGATAGGACATGCTGCAGATTTCCCAGAAAAAGTCGCTGGTGATTTCACAGAAGCAAACACTGTAGGCACATTTTAGTTTCAGACTGAGGTACACAAATTGGTAACTAACCCATGAAAACCTGGTATTCTGCCGGGAAGTTACCTCTAGTGCTTGGTTCACTCTTGAGTTGGAAGAGCTGAGCTTCTACTCTGGAGAGTTGCTGCTGAAGTGTCTCTACTGTCTTCCTGTGTTCTTCTTGCAGGTTCCTGACCTGATCTCTGAAGTTGTTCCGGAGAGCTTCATTCTGGGCTGTCAGCTGACTCAACGCCTGGGCGTGCTCTGTTTTGATGACCATGTTCTCAGACTGTATTGTGCAGAGCCTGGAAACAGTGCATGCACAAACAGTAAGACACAAGCAGCAAAACACAGTAAGTTTTACATTTCAAAATTTTTACAGTTTGAGGCAGTTTTCAATTTTCATGCATATGGTTATCTTAGAACGACTATGTGTGCAACTTTTTTTCATTTAAAGTCCTCTTTTTAAAGGGAAAATCTGAGACTGAAAAACCTACACATTACTTATTATATGAATGCACTGTGCTATATCAACTTGACTTCTATTTCAGAACAAAAAATTCAGACATCTTTGGGAAATAATGAAAGAATTAAGAGACACTGTGGTCTAAACATTCTTAAATTTTAAAACTGCATCATGACTGTTTATAGTATCATACAGGGCATGTCACTTATACTCCACTTCCTACAACATTTATTTACCAAGCACTTGGGACTTCTAAAAACACAGGTTTCTAAGGAGGTAAGTTTATTTTTTCTAAACCTCAACTTTTAGTGCAGAGGAGTGTAACTGTTAGCAAGAAAAATGTCAGTAACTCATCAGTTGTACTTGGTTTGGAGGCACTCCAGAAGCAAACCAAGATTGTCACAGGCAAGTAAATACATTAAATAAATAATAATATACAATATAGACATGATATATACTAATATAGTAAATAAAGTCACAAGCAATTAAATTTATGGAAAAACTAAGCCCAGGACTTACCCTTATAAGCATACAGACTTAAACAGAGCCAGAGCCGTGTTTAGGTATAAAGGGAACCTATTGTGAAATGGGTTGTTTCCAGAAAAATGCAGAACATAATTTGGTTGACTACAATGAATTGTTATGTAGCTATCAGGAACAGATAAAACTGTACAAAGACAGTGACAAGTCAACAGTTCCTAACATCAATCAGTAATTTCTAATCAATACTTCATGTGACAATCTCTGTACCCTAAATAGAGAAGACAATGATAGACTCTTTTTTTGGAGCTCAAGTATTAGGTACTCATGTGATTTTACAAGGAGTGATACAGATTAAACAGATTCCATTCATTTTGAAAGAAAAATTGGGCAAATTAAGCCTCTGGCGAGCATAAACCTAAAGTACAGTACTTTCTGTAAGAAAGGGGCTTGGTGGACAAGAAGTGGGTATTTTGTCAGTGAACTTGTTTGCTTTCCATATAATTACCTTATTTTTTTAAATAGGAAACATCCATAAAATTTAGTAAAGTGGTACAACACAAATGTGGTGCTGGGCATTAGACTTAAAAATAGTCAGTGTGCTTAAAAAATGTTAATTTTTAGGTCTGATAGTTAAGAGGTAGAAGGTTTGCAGAAAGCTCAAATTCCCCTATCAGCTACTATCTCACTGTCATTGTGGAAGCTTCTGATGGCTTGTGAAAAACAGCAAACAATCCTTTTGAAATCCCTTTAACTTTCTCAACAACATGCCTATTTTTTGTGAAGTACAGTTATAGGCTTCTGCATGTTAAGACCTCAAAATTCAAACAAAATAAAATATCTCTATCTTTTCATCAGCAGACCATACTTTTCACGGAGTTCTGCTTCTTTTGCAACAGTCTCTTGCAGCATCTTATTGTGCCTTTCCAGCAGGGTGTCGTGTTCAGACTGCAATGCCTGGAGTTCAGAGGCATTCATCTGTGAATTATGCTGAGCATCTTGCAGCTTAACTTTAAGCTGATCTATCACCATTTCCAACTGTTCCCTGCATGTGGAAGAAAAAGGAATACACAATATGCATTTAAAATAATTATTTCAGAACTTATATGATATCCACAACATTTTGGATAGCTCATCCAATTTGCATATTTATTAATAAATCAACACAGCACTAAGACCAAAATAATTTCAGAATGTGGCTACAGCAGAAACAATCAGATTTTGTTTCAACATAGATACAAATAAGTTTGCCACATCCCATCTGAACTGCTGGGAATGCAACTATTAGGGTAGGAAGCATGACTGATAGCACTTTCTACTTCAAGGAGGGACAAGACAGAAGGAAAATAATATATGGGGATCAAATGGGAGGAAAAATTTCTTCTTGAAAGTGGTGAGGCTTTTTTTTCATTTGTTTAGTAAATGCACATCAGTTCAATAAGACCAAATACAGGGGACAAATGGTTGGAGTAGATTTTGAGCAAATTACTAGAAAGCAACATCAAGTCCATAACACATAAACTCAGCTGGTCAGAAACAATTCAAAATCAGAAATATCAGGAAGAAAAAAAATCTTAAGTCACATGCATTCTTTTTCTACTGATTTCTGTGTTTATATATGCAGACCCCTCCATTATCTAATGAACTGTATATCTCACTAATCCTTAGGGTTGACACTTGTAAATAATTTCTTTGGGAACCGTTTGTCATCTGTTTATTGTTTATCCAATTTGTTTTCAAGATGATTCTCTCTCACAAAAAAAATTATCAATACCAGAACTTCTTAAAATTCTGCAAATAAGAGAGTCAAAGAAATGCAGCTCTTACAGTTTGGATGCTTCAAAAGCAAGAATGTTTCAAAAACCCCAAACCAGCCCTAAATCCGAGTCCTCCAACCAGGCACCAGTCGCCCTCTGGTGGATGTTTGGCCGCAATTGCCGGCACCGAATGCGGGTCTGTGTCAGAAACGAATCCTGGCATTGCACACATGAACGCCCAGTCTGTCACCAAGGGCAGCCATGGGTGACTAATAAAAATAACCTGCACAAATTGATTGACTTCTGCAGTGAGTTGAGACATTTTCTGAAGGGAATATGAATCTACCTGGCTTATGACTGTACTTAAAGGATTTTCAGGGAACTTCTGGAAGTGTAATTCTTTCCTTCCAAGTCTTTCCTTGTATGATACAATATATAGGATTTCATAAATATGCAGTAAATGATGACTGAATTGGCTTTACCTACAGCTAACCACTCACTCCTGAAAAAGTTCAACGCGAGCTCAGCTGAACTAAACCAATCTGCTCTTTACCTCTTTGGTGCAAATGGCACTTGGCTACTTCACATTAGAGAAAACCATGTGCCAAGTCTACACAGAATGTGCAAGCTAACTTCTGCTCATGAGAGTCATAAAAAACTTCCTAAGATCTTACTTCTCCTTCCAACTGTAACAATAGGTGATCTACACAAAAATAATGGCTAAAAAGACAAATCCAGCTATTAGAAACTAATATAGCACCATTACAGTAGGAACTGACAATACTTCTTCTGTTCAGTCAGGCAGTGCCACAGTCAGATTACAGATCAAGTACAAATATTAGTTTTACCTTTCTTGTTTGGCTCCTTCAGATTCTGTCCGAGCAGTAGATTTACTCTTTTGCTGTTTTAGCACATTATGAACACGAACTTTGTAGCTTTCAAATTCAGATGTAACAGATGCTTGTTCAGCCTATCACACAGAAAACATAGCTATAAGTTATACTATTGACTATTGCTCCCTTACTTCTCTATAATGAAATGCATCTTACAGGGAAAAAAATTCAAACCACCTGCTTAATTTCCTTCTTTAAAATAGATAATTAAAACAGCGACCACCATAACAAGTTTCTTTAGATTTTAACTGAGTATTATGTAATGTGAAACTTGAGACACTGATTTTCAACATATCAGTATTAAAAGAAAGAATACTTGAAAATTCAAAAACTGCATTCAACTGAGAGATTCATAAGCCAGGGGATCTATGAACAGCTTTGAATGAAAGCAAAGGTGACAGAAAATACAAGAGGTGTAATTCTGTTTCTCTCCAATACTACAAGGGTGACAAAAATTCTAACGTGCCATAAAGTTATGCATAATTCTGAGGAGTTAAGTCAGTCTTGCAATGGTATTACACAGCACCAGATATAATATTCTAGTTGACTGTAAAGGTGTTTGGTCTGTGTTTTCGTCTAAATTCAGCTATTGCCTGAGTTTCTGTGGACATACAGAAAGCTGCCTCACATCACAGTAGCTTCATCCTTGACTGTACACTATACAGCAAAGATTATTGCCACCCTTCCAGTACTCATGTTGCATATTCCTCTTAAAAAACAAAACAAAACAGCACTGGCACAGATTTTCTTTCCTGGATCTAAGGACAAGCTCATGGATTCATTAATTACTCCCATTTACAGGTAACTAAAATGTTCTCATCTCCAAGAGGAGGATTTTGGAAACTCCCTTCAGCTGAAGTGGTGACTGAAATTCTACAGAACTGAATCTGAATAGCCACTGGTCCAGATTTTCAGTCTGTACATTTTGTAGCCACTTTTTTTAGATTAATCCTTTGCTTTTCTTCCTGTCAAACTGTGTGAATATTCCTCAGGTACACATCCTTAAATGTCAGCATGATTTCTGTTTTGTACTACCTGCTTTGATATCCACATTGCCTTTAGAGGGAATTTTCCTTTGCTAATAACCTTGGAATAATATCTATTTTCCATATGTAGGGCATCTAAATAGGAAAGCTAATCCTCCAAGAGGTTCAAGCCATGCCAATATGGAAGATCTACAACTTTGCTGATTTCACAGCATCACAGAGCAAACCATCCCAGACAGGTATTGTAAGCACCCAGGTATGAAGAATACATTTGTGAAACCATGGTCCATGTGTACCAGCACAACTAAGGCAAACCTCCTGTAGCAGCAATCACAAAGTTTGTCCATTTCAGTTCAGCTTTTTAAAATGTAGAAGTTCTTTTGAGAGGCTGCATTCAGCTGTTGCTTACCTGCAGGATGCACCAACCACCACACCTACCATACAACAGTGCCACAGAGTAGTGCAGTAATCCCCATAAGGGTGGTTTGAGCATAAGAGTCCTACTATATTTTGAATCTCTTTGTCTCCAATGCAAACATTGCATTCCAGGACCAAACAGGGTTATATGAGCAAAAAATTCCCAGAAATAATAATAATAAACTTCAGCAACAGTGTCAGTTTTCCATGAACTTCAGCTGCCAATTAAGAAACTGCTCATATTTCAGCATATTAAAAGGTGCTTGTAAATATATTTTTCACAGCTTTTTTTTTCGTTACAGTGGTATCTGTGTTAACTGGTTATATATGAAGCAAGATATATTCATTTTTTTCCTTTTTCCTCTTTTCTTTAAAGACTCTTCCCTGAGTGTACACTTACTGAGCATCTTAAATAAACCCTGGGTCCCCACTACCACAAGTTTTTCCCTACTGTAAATAGCAGTATGCAAGTCCAGATGTTCCACCCCAAGTGATACACATCAACCAGGACAGTCTGGCCTGTCCTTCACACCACCACTCAATACTGGGGTAATTCACAATTCCTGACAGACAAAACGAGAAGAGTGAAAAATCTGCAAAATTTTTTTGAAGAAGCAAAGAGCGCAGGTAATCTCCCTTCTTACACCTCTAGGATTAATTCTTCCACTGGAATACCTGGGCTGCTCTGCACTCCTCTTGCAGGGTTGCAATTTTTTGCTGGCAAGCACTCATTGTCCGCTGGTGCTGCTCCGAGGATGTTCTCAGCTGCTCCTGAACTTTGTGCTTTTCTGATGTCAGCACAGCCACTTGAATCTGAAAAAGTCAGTTGCAAATTTCACTATCATGAAAACTTTTCTTACTTCTCCAAGGGAACTGAGAACCTAGGACTCTACTACAGTAATTCCTGCACTGGTAAATACAAAATTAAAATCCAATAAAAATAGAATAAAAAAAATAGACATGGGTTACCATGTAATAATTTTTAAAAAGTGATGCTGTTTAAATAGAGAATTGAAGACATAATTACAATGCTGGGGTGGAAGCATTTAAGAAAGCCAACCTCTCTCCCTTGTCTGCTTCTTTCATTACATTCTAATCCATTTCTGTTCTGTATACAGATGGACAACACTTAAGATTTTTGCTGACAATGTTGTGCTCTTCTGTTCTTAAACTGAGAAACTTCCACTTTTAAAGAAACATTAAAAAATATATTCCAGTTACAAGCTTCAAACTCCACAGTCCTCTCCTTTGGTGGAAAGGGAAACCAGAAAAAGACAAGGTAAATCTACTTAATAAAAATCATAGGAAAAAATATTTGGGGAAAGCAGCAAACAGACAAAACTCATTTACGAAAAAGAACCAGTAACCTAAAAGTAAAACCAGCACCTCTTTATTCTTCAGCCTATATTCCATGTGCCCACTACAAATCACACTCTCACTACTTAAATGAGAAGACTCATACTAACAAAAAGTGAAGTTTCTTGCCTTATAAGCTTCCACTTGCTGTTGGCTTGCTTCCAGTTCCCCTTTCAATGATGCCTGCAACATTAGGTGGTCATTTTCCTGCAAGACAAAATTACCTGGAGATTAAAAAAACCCCTCCAAACCTCAGTAACCTAAAAATTCAGCTACCAGCTGTTTTTTAAAATCTAGTTTAAAAATAGAATACAGTCATTAGCATATGGACTTACAGCTTGTTTTGAATCAGCCAGCTCTTTTTTGGTTTTCACCAGGAGTTGTTTTATCTTGGCATTTCTTTCCTCATCCTGTTGCATAGTTGACTGAAGTGACTCTAAGGCAGAGAAAAACAATTATATGCAAAGGAAACTTCCCCTGTTATATTTCCATAAAAATGCTGGAAAATATTTTTAAAAATTCCAACAGATTCCTTAAGAGCTGTGGACAAGTAATTTACACTAACTTTAGTAAACTTTTCCTAAGTTATCACAAAGACCTTATAATAAGTGAAATGTTTTTACATTTGAGCATAGGAAGAAATGGAATTTTCACATGGTAATCAGTAAAGTTTTATGAGTGTGGTATATCTGAATGAAACCCTTGTCAGTCATCAATATTTAGAACTTATGAATAACTTTATCAGGTAATCAGTCATCAATATTTAGAACTTATTCATAACTTTATCAGGTAATAAACACAGTAGGACAGGCAGGTAAATTGGCTTTTAAGTGCTGAACACTGGATTAAGTGATTGATAACCTAGTAAAGGTTCCTCTAAGACAAAATTGCTTTCCTAATGCAACTGTTTAGTATTCCCTGCAAAGTTTACCCTCACTTGCTGACTTGAGAAGTTGTCTCTGAATTGTATCTTTTACCACTGCTATCTATACCATAGTGACTCTTCTGTTTATAGTTTACTTACTTATTTCTTCCTGTAGGGTCTCTTGTTTCTGTTTCTGAATCCCTGTTTCTTGCTCAAGATCTTCTATTCTGTTGTCTTTATCAGTAATCTTCTGATTAAGTTCTTTTACTAGCCTTTCATAATCAGCTATTTCCATATCCATCAGTGTACTCTTTTGAGCATCCTGCAAGGCACACAAAATGAAGTTAGAGCTTACAATTTGCCTTGCCTGCTAAGACGTTTGTAATTCTGTAAAAAACTACATTGCCCATCAGACAAAGATTTTGTCTCTACCCATATCCACAAACATCATCTATCCACTGGGTTTCCACATCCTCAGTAAATAATCTGTTTTCAAACAAGAATCGAAAGCTTTGAAACCTGTGGCTAGTTCTATCATTAGGTATTTTGTATGTATTAGTTTTTGTCATCTTCAGTCCTTACAACCAAGGCAATTTCTTAACAGTGCACTATACATGTACTCCAGACATCTGAATTCTATTCTTATTTCTACTCATTAAAGGCCACATAACCCAAGCTAAACAAACAAAAAATAAAACCAAAACCAATTCCAAAAGTACATTTCAGCTCTTCAAGCACACAACCAGGGGCAAAAGCCCTTACATTCTCTCTTTTGCAAACCTCCAGCTTTAAAAACCTCAGAACAGAAAGGGAGGCATTCAACACAGCCAGATGGGCCCAAATCTTTGGTAGCCCATTAATCACTAACATGGATAGCAACTCTACCTTTCTGGCCAGCTCTAGTTCTTGCATAGTTTTCTGCAGATGTTTCTTTTCCTTCTGAAGTTGCATCTGAAGCTCCTCCATTTCTCGGAGAGCACCACTATGTTCCTGAAATTTAAGCAGTTGTCAATTATGCAGTCCAGTTTCAAAATAGATGCCAACTTTCTATACTTAGACACACACACACACACACACTTGTGTTGTACAAAGATAGCTGATCCCTTTCTTAGAAAATCACTGTGAACCAGAGAAAAACCAACAATACTATGAAGTGGTTTTCATATTCTGTATAACTACCCCTAACCTGAACTGACAGCCTTGCAAAGTTCTTTCAATGAACAGACCAAGTTTTCGAAAACGTCAAGTAACACAGAGGGAAAATGCAGAACCTGGTCTATGCAAACACAGTTTACAAAGGTTTAACAGAAATCACATCCATTGAAAGTATTGCTTCAGCCCATTTACCATCTCTATGAAGTACTACCTTTGTTTTCTGCTCTCTTAGAAGTTTTTCAGCCTCTAGTTCTTTGTCAGCCTTTGCTTTGGCCCTTTGTATCTCCAGTATCTGAGTTTCCAGCAGCTTAGCATTATTTTGCACTGTTTCAACACGAGCCAGGAGGTCTTCATTAGCAGAACATAACTGATCATGCTGAAATTAGCACAGTAGAACGGTAAAAACATAAGCTGAATTTATGTGCAATGTTAACAGATAAAATGTTTTCTGTATTTAAAAAAAATACCCAACACTGATTTCTATCCAAATCCCTTACAAACAACACTCCTACAGATGAGTCTTGTCCAGCTTAATTCTTTTAAACCACATTAATAAACAGGTGAAATTAAAGCCATTAGCACATTTTGGTTATTTTGTTCAGTTAATTTGCCCAGCTTTCTATAAAATGGCAAGAATCAAAATAAATATGAAAAAAATACTCAAAAACTTATGCTTTCTGCATTATCACCTTCTCCTTGCAACAATACAGTATTTCAAATACACACTTTAAATAGAGCTGCTGTATTTATAAACAAATTATCATACTATTAACTCCTAAAAGAGGCTGAACTGCAAACTTTGAACCACCAAGTCTTCCACCAGAACAGAGTGAGAACTCTACTGCATCAGGCATACTTTTGCAATGCCTTTAACAGATTTAATTTTGACATTTTCAGTGATGTATCCTATTCTTTATTTTGCCTCTTAAGAATGAGGTAAAAGTGAAAGATGTCAACTACCTAAACAGTGTTTTATTTACAAATTCTTTACAACAAACTTGAAAAATGCAAAGCCTACATAATCAGCAGAATATATACGATTATTTCTTACTTCTTCCTATTTAGTAGGAAGAAATTTACTACTGCTTTTTACTACTGGCTTGTGTTTATAAGGAAACAGTGGCCTAGGTGGATCTCTGGTGTATGGAGCCTGGGAGTTTAAATCCTAAATACCAAACCCATTGCAGTTAGCTTTGGAAAAATGTGTCTCACAGCCCCTTAATTACTATTTTAGACTCTTCTGAATGCCACTATAGTACTCTACAATGCATCTTAAAGTCTAATCCTTGTGAAAAATATGAAATTCATAACAAATTTAGTATATTTAAACGTTTTGTTGAGTAAATAAAAAAATAAAAAACCCAAAGCCAAATTTTGTTGAAGAAATAGAAGAAAAAATGTCTCAGTTAAAGGTTACTGCACTTTATGAGAAGTGTAGGTGTGCAGTCAGGAGAAACACTGCAAGTTTGATACTTGCAGCAGAGCTGTAGGTCCAAAATCAATCCAGAGATGATCTGCTCTTTTCTGTGAGTTCACCTGGGATAAATTAAACTCTTTCTATTGAAAAAGTCAGACATTCTAGATATAGTTATCTATGTCATGGCCCAGATGTTGAAAAGGAACAAACAAACCACTCTGAATTTCAAGTTACTACTTAAAACACATGTAGGCTATGAAACTAGAGTAACAACCACATGATTAGGACTTGCCCCCAGTAGGCAGAATTAATTTTTATACAAATTATCAACTTATCAACTGATCAGACCCAAATACAGAACTGACCTGCTCAGATGACACCTGTAGCTGTCTTGTGAGGTCCTCTATCTGACGTTCAAGGTTATTTGCTCTGCCTTTTTCAGAATCCAGCTGCTCTCCTTGCTTGTCGTACTCCATCAGAAGATTCTTAACACAAACACAAAGGCAAAATTTTTCACAAGATGTATTGCATAAGCACATTCTATACCTCTGAGGTGTGTTTACCTAGTATTACATTACATGAGTTGTCTTACTGCAACATCAGAAATATCAGAATGAAATTAAAGCTATCATTCCATTACAGGCTCTGGGAGAAAACCCTTTGAGTTCATGACATTCTAGAATAATTCAGGTTGGAAGACAGCTCAGCAGGTGTCACCCTCCTGCTTAAAGAAAGGTCAGCAGTGAGATGAGGCCAGGATGCTCAGAGCTTTGTCCAATCATGTCTTTCCAAGGACCTGCCTCCAAGATTGGAGATGGCTACTCCACTAAGCAATCTATTCCAAAGCTTAACCATTCTCATAGCATGAAAATGTTTATTCATATAAACAGTTGGAATCTCTCCTTTCAATTGAGGACTACTGTCTTATCTTGCACCACCATTAATAACCTGACCCTCTTCCCTTCATAATGCCTTTGTAGGTACTGGAAGACTCCTATCAGGCTCCCTCAAAGTTTTCTGCAGGCTCAGCAGCTTCTCATCACTTATTCCAGTCTCTTGACCAACCTGTCATCCTTCCACTGAAATCACTTCAAGTTATCAATGTCTTTCTTGTACTTGGGGAGAGAAGGAGGAACAAGAGTCGATGTAATACTCTCAATGATGTCACAGAATAATTTAGATGGGAGATGACCTTTAAGATCATTGAATCCAACTGTAAACCCAGCACTGCCAAATCCACCACTAACATATGTCCTTAAGTGCTGTGTTTACTTCATATACTTGTATATAAAGTGCTTGCTGTGTTTACTTATCGTACCTTAAATATCATCAGGGAGGGTGTCTCCTTTTCTTCTGACAACAGCTGCACGGTTCCCTTAGGAGAACCTTACACTTCTTGATTCTGGTACTCAAATGCACTGACACAATTTCTTTTGCCAAACATAATTGTGCAAGTAAATAGCAATGTATATCCAGGCTAGGCTTCAAACAAAGTATTTTCTGGTTTCTTTATTATCTGGTTCTGACAGATTACTGTCTTTTGTGAATGCAGCACTTATAGCTTTCTTACCTTATAGCTTTCAGCTCCTTGAATGACATCTTTCATTGAAGCAGACAATTGATCTTTTTCTGATCGAACCAACTCCAACTCTTCCTTCAGAGTCTGCACCTTATTAGAAAGAAATGTGTGCCATTAAAACAAAGCCCCCCCATGCAAAATCTTCTTCATATTAGGAATTAGTCAGGGTACCTCTTTTCGGCTGGCATCTAATTCTTTCTTGGCTTTCACAGCAACCACTTTAATTTTATTTAGCTTCTCTCCTTTTTCAGCAGATTCTTTTTCGAGCATCCCTAAAAGAAATACATAAGGAAGTTAAAAATTACACCCTTCCATTTCTTCCCAAGAAATGAAATTAAATGAAATTCAATCAAAACACAAACATCAGCATGGCTTTAAAACCAAACAAAATATAAAGCATGGGATGGTGTTGAAGTGTTTCATTCAGTCAAACATTTAATTTGAAGCTAAAACATCCAGACATAGAGAGAACTTAGGGGCAATTTTCCCTGGACAATCTTTCCCTGTTTCAGAAGCTTCCATCACAGTTAGGAGTGATATTCCTGTCTACTTCTACATAAATTTAACAACTCAGAAGCATTTTCCTGCTCTTGTGTTGGGATAACTGCAATAAAACAACAGAAGATTTGGCACTGTTGCTTCCCTTTCCTTCTGGTAGCCTTGGGGATTCTTACTGATAAATTTCCCACATTAAAAAATAAAGATTAAATCCACTACACTGTTTATAGACAGAAAAAGAAAAAGCCTTAAAATATCAAATCATATCCAACTTAAAAATTCTAACATTTTAAATTCCCAATGGAAGGAATAGTGTAGGAAGATGCATTAATATCCACTTCCCCATCTTCCTTGACTTGTGGAAATACAAGGCAATCATGCAAAGAAAGAAAAAGTAACAATCCAAAGAAGCCAGATCATTTATATAAAAGAAAAAAAGTGAGAAAGATACCAATTTTCTCTTGAAGCTCTGCTACTGAAGATTGCTCATCAGTTTTCTCAGTCATTGTTTCCATTAAATTCTGTATTATAAACAAAGATATAAGAAGTATTACAAACATTTCTTTGTGCTAGCTGTTTTGTCCCTAACAAGCCACCAGAAGTTTCAGCTACAGCTCAAACTGTCCATGTTCTTACATGGAAGAACATGGACCAGGAAAGCCTTTGTGAGCAGCTTTGTATCAGCTTGATGAAAGTACAGCTATGCTGAAAGCAGAACATTCCAATCTTTTAAGAGCTGCTTTCCATCCTGTCCAATGATAAAAAAGGGGAGACACCCTCATTCTGCAACTGTCAGCTTTACAAAACCAGCAATTCCCAAGACCTGAAGCTAATGCAGATGAAGAAGTTTTGTTTGAGATGGAACCACAGAAAGCTAGAGGTGAAAGATTATGAGGTTAGGTAGTCCATCTAGTCAGTTGATTTTTTCAAGGGATATTGATAGGAATAAAGGTTCAAGTACAAGCAACTTTTGTCAAAAAAGCATTATGATTGGTTTTGTTCCATTTTTTTTTTCCTGGGGGGAAGAAGGGAATTCTGAGGTGCTAGAAAACTCAGAAATATGTGCTTTCTACAAGGGAGACTCACTTTCAGGCCAAGGGAAAAAAAAGGAAAAAAAAAAAACAGAAAAGAGAGAATTGAAAGTATTTTTTGAACCTTAATTTTGAAGACTTTAGAGGTTTAGTCTTTATACTTCAATAACAAAATATAACCTTTAGAGAACTCAGTTCGTCTTTCACATTTCTAAGCTCAGTTTCCTTTTGTTCCAGAATGAAATTTAAGTCGTCTTGCTTTTCAGATCCTTTTTGCTGTTCTTGTATTTGATTTTCATAAAGAGCAAGTTTTTGACTCATCTCTTCAGTATTAGCTAAAAGATCTTGATTTTCAATCCTTGTTTTTTCACTGGCATTTCTCAACTCCTGGATATCACGTTGAAGTGCTTCTTTTTCAGACAACACTCCTTCCAGCTCTTCTCTCAAAAGATTCTTTTCTTTTTCAAAATCCTGAATCAGGGATCTATGTTCTCTATGTTGAGCCGCATTTTCTTCCTCTAGTCTCTCAACTTCTCGCTGCAAACTAATTACTTCCTCCTCTTTTTCATGAGCAAGGCACTGCTCTTCTTTAATTTTTGACAAGCATTCATTTGCAATTTTTAACAAGTTAAGAGAATCATTTTCTTCATTAGAATCTGAAATGCTGAACCCCACTTGCTCAAGTAAGTGGTATAGCTGAGTTCTTACAAGGGATGTGTGCACTTGTTCATTTTCAAGTAATGTTGATATATGGTCTTTTTCTGCAGTCATCATTTGTAGTTTCTTTTCTAAGTTTTCAGACTGCTCTTTCAATAGTGAACAACTATCTTTTTCAGACGTAGTCTTTCCCAGCTCTTCACTTAATTCACCTTTTTCCTGAATGAGTTTCTTATTTTCCTCATGCAGAGTGTGCACTTCAGATGAAAGCTGCTCTTTTTCACGCACCAGAGATTCAATCTGTTTTTCTAATTGTTCTAGCATTTGAGCATTTTCACCCTTAGAAATGAAAGCTTCACTCAGTCTCTCTGTTAATTCCTCTACCTTTTGCTTCAGGTCATTATTGTCCTGGTTAGCACAATCTACTTCTTGCTGAAGTTCCTGCATTTTAACTTGGTTTTGCTTGCATGTTTCCTGAAGGGTTTCTCTCTCTTCACTCAAGCACTTTACATCATTTAAAATATCCCTGTTTTGATCAGTAAGAGCAGTGATTTTCTCTTCCAGTTTTCTTACAGTAATCTCTTTTTGGTCAACGGAGCTTGCCATTGCACTATTGTCCTCCTGAAGACTAACGATTTTACATTTAAGTTCTTCTGTCTCTTCTGAAAATTTTTTTACTTTTTCCTGGAGGTGATTTACATTTTCAAGAAGAACATCCCTTTCACTGAAAGCAGCCCGGAGTTTCTGTTGCAGTTGACTGACATCAGAAGCTTGCTGTTGTTTCATTGATTCCAACTCCTGGCTGATCTTTCCAGCAGATTCACCTAGCTCAGCCTGTAGAGTTTCCATTGTTTCTCTCAGGCTGTTGTAATTGGACACTGCTTCTTCTTTCTCCTGAGTTACCTTCTCAAGTTGTTCTCTAAGTTCCTGCATTTCAAAAACTAATGCCATCTGTTCTTTTTCGGAACCAGATAATAAAGTTTCATTTAGTTCAGAAATTTCTCTCTGGTGCTGATCTTTCAGAGTCTGAACCTCTAATTTGTGCTCTTTTGCAGCAGTTTCATAGTGCTGTCCTGCTGCTTGAAGCTCCAATTTCAGTTTTTCAATTACACAGCAGTAATCTTCTTTAGTAAGCTGCAATTCATTGATCTTAAAATCCAAGTCTTCCCGCTCATGAAAGTACTCATCCTTCATACGATGGATTTCCTCTTCCAGTTTTGTCTTGACATTGCTCATATAAGTCAACTCATCTTTTAATATACTATGTTGGGACTGGAGTTCTTCTAAACTATGCTCCAGGTACCTAACTTTTTCCTCCATTTTTGCTTTTACACAAGGTTCTTCTTGTGTATCTGCAACATCTATTTTGTTTTCTAAATTTTTATGTAGCACTTCTCTCAGCTGCTCCAAGTCATATTCACGCTGGTCAGTCTGAGCATGCATTTCATCCTTGGCATTTTTCTCTGCCAAATTATGCTGCAACTGATTGATTTGATTTTGCTTTTCTTCATTTTCTTTAGATGATATTTCAATCCGATGCATTAGTTCTGACACCTCTTCCTGATGAGCAGTTTTTAATTTTTTAAGCTCTTCATTCAGATTTTTTATTTCATTATGGTAACACTGAGAGGTGCTTTTAATAGTTTCTTGCAGATTTGTCACTTCTTTGTTTTTGTCTTCATTCACAGCTTCCAACTGCTTGTTCAGACACAAAATTTGCTCTTCATAAGTAGATTTAATTCTTTGGACATCATCTTGTAATCTTTTAACTTCTTTTTGACTATCATTGTAACATTCAACCTGTTCCACCAGCTCCATTTGTTTCTTCACTTGTTCATCTAATTCCATCTTCAGCTTTTTTAAATCCTCATTGTGCTTGCATTGTGCATTTGCTAATTCACTCTTCAGAGCTTTTATTTCTTCCAGAGAGTCAATTCTTGATTGTTCCAGTTGCTTCTCTAATTCTTCTGTTTTAGCCACTGCAGCCTAAAGAAACAAGGAAATTATTAAAAACTGGTAATTTAGCACACAATATTTGCAAGTAAACTGTTTACAATGATGAATTAGAAAATGTAGTAGTCCACAGTTTAAAAAACTATTATAGCTTTTAAATATCTAACTGTATCAGGACAACTCAATTCAGAAGACACTACACATGAGAACATTTGCAAAATGAGAAAGGAAAACTAAGTCCTAGATCATGTTTACCAGCATAATTTCACAAAATGGTCACGACACACTTCAGCTTTAGCAACTATTCTGATAATGCATTAAAGATCAGATTAATTTTAGAGCATCAAATCCAGGTATCTGGAATATAACAATATCCATCAATTGCAAGCAATTCAGTCTTCACTTTATCATTAATTGAGATTATTGATATAATCTCAATATAATATAGGTGCCTTGGCTGACAGGCCCTTTCTTATGAATATCTAAAGGTAAGCCTCACATGAATATCTAAAGGTTTACCTTGTAAAGGTAAACTCGTGCTCCCATGGAAAGACAGAGCTGACTGACTGAAGCCTATGTAGGCTTTTAATGCACAGACTGAATTCTTCTTGCAGCTGTGGATCTAGACAGCAGATACAAGATTTTTTTAATTTATTACTATAAACTAGGGGGTACAGAGAAAATATGCTTTAATATATACAGCCTTTAGATTTTTAAAGACTTTTTAAAGATACAGAACACAGGTAAGTGAAGAAAAAGATTAAAATTTGATACACAACAAGCAAATGTAGAAAATAAATAAAATTCTGAAATATTTCAGTAATGTTCTATGGCTCATTTCAGTACCTCTGCTTCTTGCTTTATTTGAACATTTTCTTTTTTCAGAGCTATGCACTGCTGCTGACTTTCAGCTTTTTCCAGAAGCACCACATCCAGCCTTTCTGTGAGAGCCTAATATTAAATGAAAAAGAACACTGAAAGAAGGGTTTCTTAATGATGGAAACAGTGTAGAAACTCACATATAGATTATGACACTTTTTGTAAAATAAACACATCAGTCAGCAATTTAAAAATTGCTTTCAGCCCAAATAAAACTGATATGAAATAGGGAGACTAAAACAATGATTTTGGGTTCTTTTAAAAATTGTACTTGTGATCAGCAAACTTTTTATTACCAGGTGATGGTGGTGAAGTTTCCTTTCTGTATAAAAGAAATCTCCATCCACATTATTCAAAACAATTCTCCAATTGAGAAATTCCTCCTCACTACCAATTTTTCCTCTGATATGCTATGACCCTTATTTTGAGAAAAACAGATCCTAAAAGTATTTCTTGTGACATACAACTGGAATTATGTGTTTCTAATCTCATCAAAAAATTGATTCAGAACTTTTCTAAATGGCTAAAGTCTTTCTGCAATGGTCACTCCAAAATAAACAAAAGCTGGTCTAACCAGCCAAACAAGGAAAAGTCTTGCTGGGGACATTTGCAGAGTCACACAATAGTTTGGGTGGGTGGGGACCTTTAAAGGCCATCTAGTCTAACCCCCCTGCAGTGATCAGGGACATCTTCCACTCCATCAGGTGGCTCAGAACCCCATTCAACCTGATCTTGAATACTTCCAAGGGTGGGGAATCTACCACCTCTCTGAGCAACCTCTTCCAATGTTTCACTGCCCTCTCTGTAAAAAAATAAAATCTTACTTATATCTGATCTAAATCAACCCTCTTTTTGTTTAAAACCCCTTTATCCCTTGTTCTGTTGTAACAGGCCCTTCTGAAGTTTGTCCACATCTTATAAGCTCCCTTCAAGTACTGTAGTGCTGTGGTAAGCTCTGTCTGGAAAGTGTACTTTGTACTATTCCTCACAAAATCAAGAGTGTTTGCTGGCAAGTGGAGTAAGGATGTGAAGGGAGAAGGGAAAAAAAAGGTTTTAGGAAGTGTCTTGGACTCTTGCAGATTGATTCCATTCAATTTGAATAATGGTTTTCAAGCTATTGACTTTTTACCTAATTATTTCTGTGGATTTATTTCAGCTAACTTTACATAATACAATAGAAAAAAATCACATATTCCTACCTGAATAATATCATCACCTCCTGCAGTGGCTGCTTTAGATCTGAGTTCTTCAATTTCTTTCTCCAGTTCTTAAAATGTAAAGAAACATTACAGTATGAATTGATGCTGCATCACAGTAGCAAATTTTAGTAAATCCTGTGCCTGACAACACTTCTATTCAAAACAAAGAAGTCTTCTACTTCACCAATTTTTGTTTGTTACTCAGTGATAGACAGGACAAACAGAGAGAGAACAAATATTCAGTTCTACTTCTCCAGTCCTGACACCGAGCAGGGTTTCCTGAGGAAGCAAAACTTCCTGGCTTGGATAGAGGGACAACAGATAGAAATTCTTCTGAAGATCATCCATCTTACCTTCTATTTCATAATCAATTTAAATCAGAGGAAAGATACTCAGTTTCTACTGTTTCTCGAAAAATAGGCAGCAAGCAGAAGAACAAGATCTTATGAATAACCACACTGAGGAAAAGCCTGGTACAGCCCATTCTGTATCCTTATTGTTTTCAGAGGGCAGCTACCAGCAGTCAGCATAACTGTCATTCCAAACAAGGGGAAGTGACACCAGTCCAAGTAGTGGGCCACTGGAGGAAAAGAGACTGCAGAGTGGGCAAGGACAGCACATGAGAGCACAGACTTACAGGTACTTTTAGATGTTAAGCATAAAAATTTGATATATTTTACAATATCTTGTAAAAGCAATAAATGATATAAAGTAGCAATCTATCAAAGAAGTCATTGTACTCTACAACAAAGTAAACTCTATTAATTATGCAAAAAAATTACCAGACATTCCTCCTCCCATTTGCTTCCTGAAAATCAACCTGCACCGATACGGGGAAGAGACAATGACAAATCCCACTTCAACTTTTCCACAAGCTACACTGTCATGCCATACTGTCAGACCAAAATTAATTTAATACCTGACAAAAGCAATGCTTCTTTTCTCTTTCTTAATCAAATTACTTTGGTCCTTATCCTCCCACCATAAAAAGCAAAATTGAAGAAAAATAAAATCTTGTATTTTTGCCTAGAATTTAAATCTACTTATCAAAATCACACTGTGATATTTGAAAAGGTCAGGTAGTGCCAAGCATTAAGGCAGAAATTGCACTCTCCAGTAAGATACCTGCACATCTTGACTTCACTTTCTGTATAAGCATCATTTGCTTTTTTGCAAACTTGATGAGGTCTTCCTTGGGCAATGTGTCCAGCTGTAAAGAAAGTATAGATCAGAGAAACCAGTTTCCTCCAACCCAGAGGGAAATAGAAACAAGGTCTTTTATCATAAGACTTCCAAAAAGCTGAATTTTAGGACAAGAAACTCTTAACATACATTTGCAAGAAGTGTAACATTTCAAAGAAGAATAACAGTCCAAGCTACTGATGCTCTGTTATCCAATTCTGTTATTTCAATTACAGTAACAGAAACTACTCCTCATTCTGTACTTTTCTGAAACAATTCTGAAGCACACAATTGGGCAGCACTGGTTAGGAAAACTCAGTTAGGAAGGATTATAGTTCAGTAATACAATTTGAACAATATTTTGAAAAGTGCATGCTGACCTAACATTATCATTGTTTAAATTTACTTCCACGGTATGCAAAGATGTCTGTGTCCATTATGAAAAAGACTGCTGCCAAAACTGGATGCTATTAATAATTTATCAAATATAACAGGAAGCGAACATATAAAAAAGAGACTTTTTTTCCTCATGGTTTCCAAAACACTTTATCTTAATGTTTATAAGTTAATTTTTCCTGTCTAGAAGAAATGTTAAAAATATCTTTGTCTTCCTATTAGTCACAGCTTGCATGCTAACCCTTGCAACTACTGCTGTCCAAGTAAATTAGGTTTGTGAGGACTGATTACCTTTGATTTGCCTGATCCTGGTGTGCCAGAAGATGCCACCATCTCCTGCCCAGCATCTTGAACCTACAACAAAATAAAGTTCAATCTGCAGTAACAGACTTTTTGGTGTAAAACTACCAAAAGAACTAATTGAAAGTCTCCAAACAGAGAGGAACTGAATATAGTGAAAGCACAAGAAAAAAAGCAAAACAAAATTTTTAAAACAAAATGTTTTAAAAATTTTGTTTTGTTGTTTAAAACAACACTCATGTAGGATGAGTCAGAAACATAGCGGAAAAAGATCTACTGTCATTATTAGAACAGCAGAATGGAAAGCTCCCAATGTCCAAACCATGATTTTATGATTCCATTACTGAATGGACATCTAGAGCTCATATAGTATTGCAAATTAATTTTATTTACAAGCAGTTTCAAAAGCATGACTCACTATCTTGTCCTTAAAAGAGCCATTAAAAAAAAAAAAGAAAGAACAAAAACAACACGACCAAAACAAAAAAACAAACAAAACACCCAACCCCCCCAGCAACAATAAAAAAAACCACCCAAAAAAACTTGTAGAGGAGTTGCAGTTCAATCAAACCTTGAGAACTTTTGAACCAGATAAGCTCCTAATATTTTTTAGTTTCCTTCTTAAACACACTGGTTTATCTCTACAATTGTTAGCCTATCAAATATATTCCAAAAGATTCAGCAAAGTCAGGGCTCATTTGGACAAACTATAACCCTTCTCTTCCTTTTTTTTTAAAACATGCAAGTCCTCACTAGGATTGCTGGCATGACAAACATATCTGAAAAGGCTTTGCAAATTCTGGGCTCTCTATCTGTAAAATAAACGCAAAATGCCTTCTGCTGTAAACTTTCACAGATCTAATCTGTGAATTGCTTTACAGTGGTTTAGATGGGATATGCTTATGTATAATCAGGAACACAAAGAAATGTATGCAGCCACAATGCTGCAAAGGAAACGGGAACAGACACTTCCAAAATATCAGGAATAGCATTTCCAAGCCTTCACCTTTACCCTACTTTTTTCTTCATACCATATGTGCATGAGTATAAGAGTGAAGAGGTAAATATATAAATATTTGTACTTTTATATATCTAGATGTTTGTGTGTGTGTGTGTGTGTGTGTGTGTGTGTGTGTGTGTATACACACCTACCCTCACTTTCATTCTGCTACTTTCTTCATTCTGCCAAAAAAATCAAAACCCTTATGGTAGAAACTAAGGAAGAACCAAACTGGATCTGAGCACTACGAGTGAGAATGGACAATCACTAATAATTTGGACAGAACAGGTGATACAGATAACAAAAAGCATCACCTTTAGAAATATGAGTTCAAGTACAGACCAAGGACAAAGGCAGTTATAGTAATCTATGTCACATATGCTACATGTTTGAGTTTTTTTTTTTCAAGACGGCAAAAAGAAACTTATTAGGAAAAAATGTGCTGTACAGCATTAGGGAAAAAAGCTATGAAGTTTCAGATTTTCTTAGGATGTAACTTTGTCAACATTTACACTCCTAATATTTTAGCACTTGGACTGCATAATGAATTATAACAAAACTGCATGTACTGTTCAGAAAATGACAGCTCACCACTCTCCATACTACAGCAAGGTCAGATGGATTTTCTTCTCACAATACTTTTACTCCTTTAAGCTAATACATACAGAAGCAGAATCGCACACTGCGTAAAACAATGCATCCAGTTTTGCTGTTCTGGTAACTCAACCCAGAGGCAGCTCATGTAGAGGGCTTCACCCCCTTGAGTTAGAAGAAAAATTATGAAGATGAGCTACCAAAAAACCCTGAACGTTTCACTGATTAGCTGCATCCGAGCTGTGAGCCAGCAGCTACTAAGTATGCTTTTAAGTCCAATACAATCCTGCATGGTTTCTGGTCCACCATTCTGATTTCTGGATGCTTCCACAGTTTACTGAGATACACACACACACACACACACACACACATTCTTTTTTTAGATTTTATTTAAAGCCTACTTTACCCCCTACACCAAGGGGTTTCCACGCCACATTTCAAGATGTTCTTGGTATTTTAACTGGTATCTATCCCTTACTCTTGCTTAGAAAGCCTAACCAATGCATAAATGCAATATACCAGCCTTTTCTGTGAACTGTGGCAGTAGTGGTCATCATGAACAACAATTTTCTGAGCAGCGTGCAAGTATTAGACATCACCAACCCTAAGTGTACCAAGTCACATCAAAACTCATTTTGACTTGTGATTGCTTCAACCAACAGTGGCATTGAACCTCTATCAGAATGTGGCACACGAGCAGCACAGACACTACTAGGAGAGTTAATTTAATGTGTGAACTTAAAATTCGTCAATGTTGCCTTTGCGTTTGCCTTGGTTTTTATAAAAGCTACACTAGATACAGACGCCTCAGTGCTTTTATTTGTTTGCGTTGGTAGGTGTTTCACAGCGGACGTCCTGTTAACACGTCGATCGCGTCATCTCAGTGGAGAAGGAACCCTTGTTCGCCCGTGGGTGCTGTCATACAGTAACCACGCGAAGCCCTGGCCGTGTGTCCGTCACCCGAGTGTCGCTGCCCTGCAGTCAGCGCTGCCCGCTCTCCCCAGCCCGTGCCCACAGGGCGACGTCCTCACCTCCCAAGCACGAGGGGCACTGAACGAGCCCCTCGCAGCCCGCACCGGCGCTGGCATTTCCGCAGGGCAGGGACAGCGGCAGAGGCAGGGCCCCCTTCCCACCCCCGGCCTCCCTCACAGCTGCGCCACCCGCGGGGGCTGCGAGGCGCCGGCCAAGGGCGCCCAGTGCCCCACGGGCTTCACCGCCCGTCACCGCAGGAAGGGACAGGAACCCGCGGCGTAGGAGGGGCCGGTCCGCACCTCCCCGCTCCGCCGCGCTCCGTGCCAAGGTCACGCACCGCCCCCTCCGCACCCGCCCCGGCTGCGCTGACCCCGAGGGCTCCGCAGCCCCTCTGCCCAAGCCCGCCGCGTTACCTCCATGGCGGGGCCGGCCGGCTGCAGGGGCGGGGAGATCGCGGCGCCACAGCCGCTGCCAGCGCCGCTACATCCTCCCCGAGCCGCTTCCGCCTCCGTCATCCCGGCACGCCGGGCTCGGCCTGTCCGTCACGGAGCACCGCCCCGGGGCCGGGCGGGGCTGAACCAAGCTGAACTGAGAGCCCGCGGGCTCGGCGGGTGAGCCCACCTGGGACGGGCTGTGGGTCGGGGAGTCGGTGTTGCTGCCGACCTCGTGTTGTCCGCCTTATGAAAAGGGGAAGGGGTACGGCTGCAACACGAGTGCAGCCCGCTATTCCCTGTTCCTGAAGGGCGCCGAAGGGCAAAGCAGTGCTGCAGGCGCGTCTCTCACTGCCGCCATAAGGAGAGTGTGAGGTGAAGGGTGACGTGCTCGGGCAGAAACGGAGCGATTTAAGACCCCGTTTTTAATACCTTGATGGGAGCACAAATTGATTTAAATTATTTATCAAATAAATGCGGCCTGTGCCAGTAGGATGGTGCCAGACTTTGCGTCAGCATCCAGCGACAGGACAAGGAGTAGTAGCCTTAAATAAAACCACAAGAAGTTTCACCTCAACATGAGAAAGAATTTCCTTACTTAAGGGTGGCAGAGCACTGGCACAGCTGCCCAGGGCTCTTGTGGAGTCTCCCTCTGGAGACATTCAAACCCCACCTGGACCCATTCTTTGGCACCTGCTCTAGGTGACCCTGCCTTGGCTCGGGGGTTGGATGAGATGATCACCAGAGCTCCCTTCCAACCCTAACAATTCCATGATTCTGCAAATTCAGAAATGGATGTGAAGGACTACCAGAGCAAATAGCAGAACCTAGGTGTTACGGCTTGTGATTGCATGTTCTTAAAGAGACTTTTTATGCCTGTTTGTTTGAGGGCTACAATGCCTACTTTAAAGGGCACACATTTTTCATTGTAACCATGCATGCACTTTGGTAGTGCCTGAATAATTTTTCACATTTCATGATAAGTAATTGATTTTTAATGAAAAGTTGCCTGGGAAAAACAATTTAAGCATATTATTCAGTTTGTGGTTCACTGGGTGAATACTGAATATCACCGAATTAATTATATTGTCATGAGAGAATATGTAGTTTAATAAAAAGGAGAGTAGTTTGTTGAAATGCTTGTCTCAGAAGAATAATTGTGTTTTTCCAAGTCTGCTTACTGTCCTTCTTGTAAAATTCAAATGGCAAATAGTGACAAAAAGCAGAAAGCTTCTTCACATATACCTAAGAAAGTGTTTTTTTTCCCACCTCCAAGGCATTCACTGTCCATTACATATATTAATATATATCTACTTATGCAGCTACACAACAGTAGCAGAAGCACATGGTTCCATGCTCACAGAGGTTGCTGGCAAGAAGCACATGTCCCTAACCGAAAAGCATGACAGTGTTTTTTCATTACTTCTATTATTATACTTTTTAGAAGCTTCAGAGGAAATTAAACAGATTTATTCTTTCCTTCCCCTTTCATAGTGGGGTACTCTGAACTGGTTACCTATGCCTGTGTTGCTCTGGTCTAAGGTGGGGATTTCATACAATTTCAATAAGAGCTTTTTGAGATAGAGACCTTCCAACACCATTCCAGAGCAGAAGCTTTTCACCCCAAACTATGCCATACTGCACAGCTCAGTGCTTTGAGGTCAGCCTCCAACTGAATTTGAATATTTGGGAAGAACGCTGTAGGAAACTAACCTTCTCTTTTGAGAAACCACAGAGAGAACAATGTTTCATGCACATTTGTTCCTTCTGCCTATCTTCAGATGGTATGTATTGTGTACCAACTCTTGGGTCATCTCATTATTTAACCTACAAGGGAATTGATTTTGGAGCTCATCCAAGGCAGACACAAAAGAGTTTTCAGAGGTGTTAGTACTGAAGACAGTGAGGTAGAGGTACCAGCTCACTCATTGCAGGCTTTCTGTAGCTGATTCTTGCTAGGGACCACTCAGCCCTCCCTCCATTTTATGTAACAGAGTTTAGGCATATTATACATTTGAGATTGTCTTAACAGTCTTTCATTCTGGTCCTGAATTGCAACAGCAATTGCAAAGAATCCTGGTTAGGGAGTGGTAGAAGAATTTTAAAATTTTCTAGAATAACTAAAAAAGGTTGAGGATTTTGTCTCTTGATTGTTTCAGTTTCTTACAATAAAGTGCAAGTTGCTCTGAATTTTTCAGGGGAAAATGTTGATTCGTACCTGCAATAGTCTGATAAAATTTTCCTAAACAATTTAAGAATTGTGTCTTGCCTATCTAGAAGGAGACAGTAAGCTGATAGATAATAATAAATGCATCTAACTCGAGACAAGATACGTGAGAAAAACAAGAATAATTTACATAGTCCATATATCTCATGATTTTATTATCTTTGTAAAAGATAATTAATTCATATTTTTAAATAGCATTGTCTATGTAAAACAAGATTGCCAAGAGATTTATGGGATGTGTTGAGGCAAAGCATAACAAATTTTCAATTCTGCTTTCATTGAGAAGCCAGGTCTCACAGGGCTGTAATTAGTCTTTACATCAAGGTAGGGTACAAATGATTGTTCACTATCATTGGAATTATTAGACCTGCAAGAATTATCTAAAGAGCACAGAATGAGAAAATACCTGTAATTTTACTACTGGAGAATGTGTTTTCAGCATAAAGGAGCAGATGCTTTAAACACTTGCCACTGTATTTTGCAGCAAGTTCTGAGGATTGCAGACTCTTAGTTTTGACCCATGCTGGGCCAGTCAGAGTTCTTGCTTTGAGCTGCTTCTATGCCTTTTTTACATGCCAGGTTAATATAAAGGAAAATAACACATGCATTTATAGTATGTTAAGTATTCTCCTCTGTTTGGAAACTTAAAGCACACCCCCCTGTGCAGATGAACTGCAAATTATTTGGCTGACTATGGCCATTTTGTTGGGTTGAGGTTCAGTAGTCTCCCACAGGAGTGGAAGGGTACAGTGAAAAAAGAATTATTTATCTCAGTACTATTTTGTGTATGAAGGATTTGGTTAGATGTTAAAAAATTAGACTGTATATACAGTCCTTAATTCTAGTCTTAAAATGTCATAAGAAACAGAGGTGGGTAGTTTGTTGTTCTCACGAGCAAAAGCCAGCAAGCCTTCTGATAGATTCATGTAAAACTCACACAAGGAAACATTTTTTTCACACCTGGTATGAGACCTGGCTACAAAAGTCTGTTCTATTGTTAACAGCACATGGAGGACATTTAATTGCACACAGAGATAGTAGCAAATGTTGCTGAGTGATATTGGTACAATAACAAATTACTGTGAATCAAAAGACCCAACTTTAACAAATAAAAAAAATCAGTTACCTTAATTTTTAGGTGCCTGACCTAAGATTCTACCTGTATTTATATTGCCTGTACCAGAGCAGGACCCAGGGTAGCTTGCTTTTGACATGATGCCTCTGTCTCCACAGTGATGGTAGATGGATATGATTCTACTGGGAGCCTTCAGTTCAGAAGGCACTCAGCTCACACAGCTGATAGATACCAAGTGCCCTTGCAGCAGCCAATGCCAAAGCCCTTCTGCAAAAGAATCCATGAGTAATTTGCTTCTTTCCCATTAACCACAGGGTGCTGCTGAATGATTGCTTTCCTGATCTACCTACACAGTGCTTGGTCTGGAGGGCAGGCAGAGCCTTGTTTTTTATCCAGCCTAAGCCCATTACTTTCAGTCTGGTAGCACAGTTTGGCTGCATCTTAGAAGTATGAAAGGCTTAGCTCTCACTCTCTGTGTGCCTCTAGGCTCACCTTCAGCCTACACTGAGACCTTGCAGCATTCACTGAGAATGTGAGGGAAATGAAACCTTCAGTCTAGGCTTAAAATATGTTAATGCACTTCTGAAAAATGCCATAATTAATAATTAACCTTGTTGTCAGGGTAAAACACTTTATGAACATGTTGATGTAAACCATTAATATAAAGTATGATTCCATATCCAGTATGGATAGGGCAAATTACATAAAATCTTCTTCCTCTTCATGGTCTGTTTTCCTAACCAGAGAAACAGAGACTTTCAGTTCAAGTGTGAAGCAGATCATCTATAGTTAGATTACTGGGAAGCCAAGCACTGTCCCTCTGTCTTTGAATGCTAGCTAGGATGATCGAACAGCTCACTTGTCTGTTTCTTTCTGTAATTTTTTGGAGCTCTGTGCTTCTTTCATTCTTTTTCACAAATTACCTTCACATTCCATGTGAAGGTAAAATGTCTCCCGTAGCTGCTATTGACAGCCAAGCTCAAGGAGGAATACAACTAATCTAGAATTAATACAGCAGTGTCTTTTAAATAGTCAGCATTGAAGCAGGAATCTTTGGTCATTCCCAAGGGAGGATTTGTTTTGACTGTTGTTAATGCAGAGCTGCAAAACAGAAGCACATGAACAATTAACATGTATTAATCAACACTGACCCTGAAACATTTTTAGAGATGAATAACAAAGTTTCTGTACTATCAAAACCCAGCAGGGACACTTTCTTATAGAAGAAGAAACAAGCAACATCAAAGAAGTTGCTGTGGGATTGCATTAGCTAAACTGACTCAAGTCTTGTTAAACTGACATTGAAGATGTTGCATCTGAGAAGGTAAGCAAAGCTGTGCATCTAGCTAACTGGATGAAAATAAAGCATGGATGTATTTTTAGGACTTAAGTCTAATGTATTTCTGTACAGTTTTATCTCCACAGTAAACAGAGTCATGTGTTTCCATCAGAAGTGTGACAATAGTTTAAGTTATTTGAAATAATGTGGCTGTACACATACAATCTCCTTCTGCAAGTGATCATTGATTTACAGTATTTTACATAAAAATATATTAAATCTCTTACCAACTTTTGTTGGTATTAGTAAAAAAATCACCATATACAAACACATCATTTAAAGCTCTTCTGTACATAGCAACTGTCAGACCTAAAGACATGGAATTTAAAGGCACTCTAGATGAGGGCACCCTCCAGGCATATGCCCAGAAGCATATGCACAATTCTATTGACATAAAGTCAAAATAGACACCAAACCATGGTAGAATCTATGGTCTTTGAGGGATGCATACAATCCATTAACCTTTTTCCCAAATTTTCTTCATAACTACAGGTCAAATAATTTTCACTGGTAACAATAAACTACTCCCTGTAGTTTTACATTAGTAAATATTTTGCAAATCATGATTGAATCTGTAAATTGATCTCTCAGCTATGGTGGCTTGAGAAGGCATAAAAAGCAGAAAGTCTCCACTTTTCTATCCTCCTGCCAGCTATATTTTGTCAAAATAGTTGAGATTCCTGTCTCTGAATATATAGAAAGATAATATCAATAGCACATGAAAAGCCACTTCTTATGTAGCCACACATCAAGTGTTTGTTTCTCCCCTGTTGTATTCTAGGACTGCAGTCTGACCTGTGGTACTCCTTATCTGTTGTTTATAGCAGCTGAATTGCAGCTGGGTGAAAAGTTACCTAAGGAAGTGAGAGCAAAGGTGACTTTCCAGTGTGATTCTAGTCCCTTATAATATGGTGCCTCTATCCTTGCAGTTGCTATGCAACTCCCTTTTCAAATAAGGCTTCAGCCACTGTCAGTATTTTGCTTTTCTGGTAGTTTTGAGATTTCAAGGGAGGAGCAAACAGGTCATCTGTGTGACCTTTTGTACAGCACTGCTCATAAAATGTCACCAAGCTCCTGAGTTAAGCATGTTTTCCATTTACTGATACCTCTTGTGGCACTGAATGAGGATTACATTGACAAACTGTGCTGACTCACGAAGTTTCATAGAGCAACCCAAGACAGTGGAAATATCTGAAAGAGCAGGCAACACCTTTTCTTCATACTAGTGAGACAGTAAATCAAGTTAATCATAAACAAAACCCAAACAAGTAGTAGAAAGCTCCTCAAGCTGGTATTTAGCCTTGCTCTTGCTGTGATGAACAGCAGTGCTCTGACAGATAATTTTTTCTTGGGTAGTCATTTTACAGAGACATCCTTTGTTTGTGGGCAGGAATCTGTGGACCTGAAGTTAAAAAAAAAAAAAATTACACCAATGTAGTAAATACATGCTTCCACTTTCAGTGATTCCAGCATTTTTGGGGAAAACTCTGTGGGCCAGGACAATGTAACTCCTACATTTACCAGGCAACTTTTTGTTTGTTTTCAAATTGATGCAAGATATTGCTGCCCTTCATGACTGCATTCACTTTAGATATGTGCTGCCCTTTGTGGCTGCATTAATGGCTGCAATATGGGTATTAAATAAGTAGCCTGAAATGAGCTTTGCATTTGGCAGCTGCTCATATTGCTACAGCTTTTTAGCTTACTTTTAACTCTCCATGAGCCAAAGAGAAAATATCCCTGGCAAACATTTTGTATTAAACTTGACTAAACTAGGATAAATGAGACTAAGGCATACTTTTCTTTAGCTGCTGTAATCTACATTCTGTTCCCTCCAACATTCAGAGTGCAAACTCAGTTAAGCAGGAAGTGGCCTTTTTTGCATGCCAACTCCATGGTGGCACTTTAAATCCAAAAGTGGATTAGTAACAGTTGCTTGTAATTAAATGAGTTATGAGTTGCTTTAGTTAATTTTGCACAAGCTCAAAGCAAGCCTGTAGTTATGGTACTAATGCTGAAGCAGAACTGGTTTTTATTTTCCAGTATCTACCAGGCCCTATTGCAACTAAGAGCCTCAACAAGCTGTTTATATATTTGATTGGTAAGGCAAAGGAGAAGGCAATGACGTGAAGTATCTGATGAACACTTTTACAACAGTGAAGAGGGAGATGGCATTTGCAGCATTGACTCTTCACCTGGTTCACACCAACTCAGAATTTTCCAAATGTCATGAGAACATTATAATGTCCAGTTCAGAAGGCAAATGTGAGATGCAATAAGGACTACTGTGCCCATGGCTAGACTGTAAATACATGCCTCTATATAGCCCTTCAGCAGTTTTTATCTAAGGAAGTAATGGGTTTTTGGTGTTTTTGGAAATGTTGCTTTCATTTCAACAGCATTTCTTATGTCCAACTTAAAAATGAGAGAAAATGAAATTTATTCTACATTGTGCACTTCTGTTCCTCTCTTTATACTTTACCACCTTTAAATTTATATATTGTTATTGATTGATTAATGTTCATACAATCTGTTGCATTCTTTTAACACCTTTTTCCTGTTGGCTCCTAGTTTCTGTTAGAGTTTGATTTGAAAATGCCAGCAATATCAACTGCAGTTTTACAAAGGTCAAAACCCACAGCATCTTTGAAATATTTTTATTAATGCTGAAAGTGACTGTTGTGGGGGTGACTGAGAATTGTCCAGTGGAGTTATTTTCTTGAGGGAGATTTAAACTTTGGCATAATTTGGGCACTCTCCCAGTAATGAAAAATCAGTGATGTGTGAAAGGAAGATCTTAGGGACGCTGGCATTTTGTGAAAGAAAAGCAAAATATGTAACATGGGAAAAGCTGAAGATCATAAATTTCAACTGCAAGTAATTACAGTTCCATGCGAAAAACAAGAGAGGTATCAGACATTTTCTTCTTATAATCTTCATCAAATTTCTCATTCTGTGCCACAGTGAAATGATTCTTCCAGTCTGCAACAGTGCCTAAGAAATTACAAAGCAAAAAAAGAGAAAAGATTGATTTACCAGTAATCCACAACTTATTGGATACTTGTACTTCAATGCTTATTTCAAAATGACAGAATGACAACCAGACAGGGTTGATGTCAGTAACAAACCTCAGTACCTTTTCTCATGAATGGAGAAATGGAATGATCCATTATTCCTTGAAAGTCTTTAGTGTAGTTTGCCATGGGGTTTTCCTTCATTACCTCAAATGAGGTGCTATGGACTATTTTGTTTAGAACCTCCTCACTCAGATCCTTCTCCAGGAACTTTGCAATCTTCTGAATTTCTCGCTTTGGATTCTGCAAAAACAATTACATGGGATAAGACACAGAGCTAGGAAAAAGCAAAGAAATCAAAGGTCATGTGAGAGCTGCAATCCTCACACAGAGAAGATCAGGTTACTGTATTTACTGATACTGGCATTATAATATAAAACTGTTGCTTGTAGTTAGTTTCTGCTAGACTTACAGATTTCAGAGCTCTATAAACATATGTTCAGCCTTTTACCTCCTTCATGTCTTCATAGAAGAGATAGAGTATACGGTGCTTATCTTTTGCCTTCCACCATCCTTTTACGTGGTCATACCAGGAACCCCAGAGGACTGAAAAAGAAGTAACATCAGCAGCTATAAATGCTGATTGTGTCTTTAACACATGTGGCGCTCATGTTTGCCTCTTAACCAGTACCTGTGAATTTCTGACCTGGTTTTGAATCAGTATGGCTGTGATAATAAGCACTGCTGTGCTCTGTGCTTGCTACAGCATTTTTGCTATTAATGCCTCAGGTTTATGGATGCTCAGAACAGGACTCATGTGTAACTTTCAAGGGCAGCAAATGCAGATGCATTATAGTCAATGAAAACACACAATTCCAGTATTCATTTGATCATCTGGACAAGGCTTGTCTTAATTAGCCCTGCTTTGAGCAGGGCAGGGGTTGGGAATGTATGGGCAACAGAAATCCATTCCAGCTTGCATGATTCTATGATTCTACCTGGTTTCGATATTTGCCATGCTATCAGAAATGCCTACTTCTCTCAAGCAAGTGCCAAAATGATTAGCTAAGACAGAAGTAAATATGTTCTATACTGCATGTCTGCTCTGGGACATAGCTCCCAAGCTCAGCTGGTCAAACACAAGGCATAAGGCCTCCTTTGAGGTGTGACTCTCATGCTGGTTCAGACAGTGGTATCTCTAGGCCTACATGGTGGCAAAAATATTAATGACCTAAGGAAGCTTTAGTGACTCAAACTGTAAACTGCCATCCACTTGACCAAACTTTGTTTCTTGGATATCCTGTGATATCAGCACCTCTTTTAGAAAGGGAGGAATCTGCTTCTAGGGTTGCCTGCCCTTAGAGAACTGTCTTTTTTCCAACACCTGATTTTTATATACATTAATTTAGGTTCAAAGACTTCCTTATCTCAATTTCACACTGCACAATTTCTATCCAAATTAACTCTCCACTTCTTTTTTAAATTTTAAATTTTATCAGTTTATAGTAAGACCAGTTAAACCATTGTTCCTTTTCAAATGGCTTATTTTAATCTCAGAGAGAAGAGATGAAGCCTGAAAATTGTGATATATGTTTCTGAATTATAACAGAATAAAGATTAGTGTTTATATTTTTTCTCAAAATGGAAGCATAAAGATAGATTTAATTCTTTAGGTAGTAATAAAAATTTGTGAATGAAGAAAAATTATGACTGAAACACCTTCAGCAGATATCCTTCCACAGTGTCTGCACAGGATTTCAAACCATAACCAAAATTAAAAAACCAATGCCATGCATTCTTAAAATGATCAAAGTCTCATATACAAGTGATTGCAGTTAATCACCTTTTCCAGTCACGAATTTCTCCACAAATTCCTCCCAGGTTCCTGGATCAGGCAACCCTTTATTCATTCTGTGGAAATGGTAGTATGACACCAGGTTGTCTTTTGCATTTCTTGCCACGTAGATTATCTTTATTGATATGAAAAGAGAGAGAGAAAGAAATTAACTTGCATATACAAATATAGATATTGAGCATCTCCTGGAGTTTTCTCTTAGAGCCTGCTGGTAGAGATTTAAGAGGTTTTGCTTTCAAGCTGCCATTTTCTACAATCCAGCTCAGGTAACCTAGTTGTGACTTTAGATTCCCACAGACTTCACACATTAAAGGGAAAATATTTTTTAAGACCTTTTGATTTCCTAGCAATTCTGGAAAACATATTCCAACATATTCTTCCAGAAGAATATGTTGGTTTATGTCACTTTCTTTGCTGTGAGGTAGAACAGGGCTCTTCAGCCTTACCTTACAATTTTGTTCCCAGAAGGATGGAGGCAGCAGCTGCACGGGCAGATGAGTTTTTATTGTCCGTGGAGATGGCATGGCTTCAGCTAACTCCACACCTGTGGGATGTTTAATTATGAAAAGTTGTTCTCTAAATTGAACTAGCACTTCTTTCCTATGCTCACTCGTGATTGTGACTGTGACTTTCCAGCAGTTCACCTTGCATTGATCACTCATCTCCAAAGCGCTTACTAGCAGGGTAACATATACAACATTACTTAAGCATCTTCAATGTTTCTAGAGAAATTTGACCTGTGTATTTGAGCAGAAAAGATTTATATATTTTTGCTTTCTTGGGCCCATACTTTCTTTCAAAGGGATTATGATAAATACTGATTTCTATTTATCAAACCAAAGCTTTTCCTTTGCAATATTTGGTGGTCTCCTTCCACCTTAGAGGTAAGAAATATTAGTTTCTTTCTAGGATACAAGAATATGATGGCTGATTAGACTTTGTGGGTGGCACATAAAGAGAAAGGAGGAGAATGACGGTGGATTTTCAGCAGCTATGGATATATGGGACTACTTGGGAATATCAGATGATATTTGGAGATGTGTTATCTCCTCCCATTTCCCTTTTAGACATCTATCATGACCTCCATAATTTTTTTCCCTGTCATCATGTATCATCCTCTGTTATCTATCATTTTTTGTCTCTCTCTCTGAGTCAACACAGTCTAGTTTAGAAGAGAAAAACTAGCACTTCTGCAGACCTAGTCAAGCTTTTTAGCTTCAGATATGAGAGTCTGACTTAATGATTTGTGTGGAAATGGAGCCCTTACTGAGGGAGATTTTTGTAAGAAGCTGCAAGCCAGTGAAACCTGCTGGTTGCCTGAATGTTCCATAGTTTGTTTAGATGACTAGACCCTAGAACTGAGCAGCAGTTACTTGAAACAGTAGCAAAACCACTAAAAACATTATGCCCCTCTCAGAAAGAAGTCCATGACATATGTTTCTCTTCCATACAGCCTGTAATCTCCGAATGGCATTCAATTGCCTCCATGCCTCATTCAATTGCCATTATATACATATCTGCTGCTGGTTTAGATACTGTGGAGTATCAAACACAGCTTCAGATACTACTACAAATATCATGTCTTCAGTAGCACCTGAAGCAATCCCATCTGCCAGCCTTGCAGCACCTTGAGTAGCACTAGATGTTTATGTTAAAGCACCTGAACTGGTCCTTAAGAGCCAAAAAGGTGCTCAGTTCAAGAACAAAGCAAGTGGGACATTTTCCAGGACACTTGTGGCATCAGCACTATGAGCTTGTTTTGTTTAATTTTGTTTAAAATACAGATGATATTCACCTGAGTAATGTGCAGACGGAGGCTCTGCCAAAAACCACTCGAGGAAAGGGTGGCGTTTGTAAGTAGTCTCACGTTTGCACTTCTCAGTATCTCCATTTTGTTGAATCATATCCACTATCTCCTGGGTCCATGTGGTACCTGAAAATATCAAGTGTTTAGATGTTTCCCTCCAGGATAGCCAAGAGTTTCTTCTATTAGGGCACTGAAAGCCAGAAGGATGGACTCTGTGCTAATGGGGGAAAGAATAGCATAGAAAATAGTAGACAAAATGGAAAAAGAGTACAATACAATACAGGCAAAATGCCTAATTGAGCAACAAAGGTAATTCTCAAAGCTCAATTCCATTTTAGACAGACTTCTTGCCTAAAGAAATAAGTCCCCACACCAGCACTGAAAAAAACACTGGGATAAACTCACTATTATTGGTAGAATATTATTTGCAGAGGATTGAAACTTCCTTCTTTAATCCCTAACAAAAATTCAGCTATTTTGTTTTCATACTGAATTTGAGTAAAAAAATGTGATATCTGAACTTAAAGTGAGTTAAAATTTCATACAGTTTGAAAATATTAAAAAGTTGAAGTATTTGTAAAGTTTCCCTTTGAACCATGTTAATGAAAGTCTGTGCATTTCATCTGCCTGAGTGACTGCAACATTTGTGAGAGTTACAGTATAGTGTATCTCATGTGTCACTTTTCTTTTATAGCTGTCATCTCTGTGTCAGCCACATCTCCTCTGAGGTACTGTGGCAGGTCAGCTAGAGAACAGGTTAAGGGATAAATAGGAAAGCAATTTAGGCAGGAGATTCAGCCCTTCTTAAGATGCTTGTGTGGTGCATCTCACACAGATATGACATAATGTCAAATGGAATCCTAACTTTATTTATTTTCAGTTCAGTGGCTGGAAGGTTTTAATCCCAACTGGCTTAAATAATGTGGTTTTGCCTTTAGTATACAGGTAGTAAATCAAAAGCCTTCAGGTTTTACAAAACTAATGGTGGATTTCTTTGTTAAAAACATTTTTCCCCTACTGACAAAAAAAAAAAGCCCTAAAAATTCTTGCTAATTAAAATAATTATTTTTTATGATGATCAAATTCTCCCATATCTGTTCCTGAATCTCCAAAACTGTATGTTTTTATTCATACAGAATTCATATTGATGCTTGTTATTAATTTTTTTCTTGTGTAGTAAGTATAAGGGGTTTGATGAAGAGGAGAAATATTGTCCAGTCACTGAGTAAAATGCCAGATAGCTAATAATAATGGTGGTATTTTTCTTTCTTGGTTTGTTGACCAAAATTATTAAATTAATTTGGTTATTTTAAATAATTAATCAATTTTCAGAAATCACTACTTGTTTACACAAAAAATCATTCTCCAAATACATAATATGTTTCATAGTCATACGGTTAGTTTCTATTATTTCTTAGTAATGATCACTTGTTTCTAGGCGCTGTTAAATCCCTACATATTGGTGGAAAACTCCTATTGTCACCATTAATATAAATGTCTATAATCTCAGTTAAAGGTAACAGTTTTAGGTCGTTAGACTTTGGGTGTTTGTACTTCAGTAGTAACAGGTATTTGTTGCCTCTGCCAAAGAAGTCAGGAGTTACTAGTCACAGCTGACACAACTTCATGTCTTTAAAATATGTCTAGCTTGGAGTTAAACAAATATTAGTCACAAAAAAAATAAATCTCAATCCCATCAATAAGCATGATGCCAAACTTTTCTATTCTGCTTCCTACCCACACCAACCTGCTTTTGCATAGGTTGCAATGAGCACATCATCAGGCTTGGCTTTGAACTTCCACACTTGGTCCCAAATGCTAGCAATTGGTTCTGTGAGGATAACACCATCCAATTCAAGTAACCCAGGTCGAATCATTGTCTCTCCCAGACTCAAATCTTTCATTTTATTCATGGCAATGAGAACTGCATGAAGAAAGGCTTAGAATTAACATGGCTGCTCTGAAAAAAAATCTGAATTACTCATCTTGAGGTCTCTCTTATTGACAAAATTCCACGTCCTCTGATTTCTTTTTGCCATGATTTGGTCTATCTGGATATATATAGACGCCTTAAAGCTGGATCTCATTTTCAGAAATGCATGGTGTATTGCTAGCGGTAATTTTCTGTGTCTCTAAAAATCACTTTGTTTACTCAGATACAAGAAGAGAAAAAAGTCATTATTCTCATATCAAACACATTCATGTAAAATTCGGATGATTGGTATGAAGCCTTCTAAAGGCAAAAAAAAAAATAGTAATCAGAGGTGTGATTCAAAAGAAGGCAGAGAATAACAGCAGGTAATGAAATCAGCACACAGAACCCAGCCCTTCCTCTGTGAAGAAAATAAACAGAAACTCCTGCTAACACCCTTTGTGCCTTAAACTCACAAAAATATTTACAGACCTTTTCTGTGTTTCGTTCCTGGATCTTGGCACTCCTGGAACTCTTTGCTGTGTTTTGAAATATGTTGCCCGTAAATAACCTAAATTTGATTGATCATTAACTAAAGGTTGTTAGACTTTAATTATGTGAATCAATCTGGTTTATAATAACTAGTTATTGATTTCTCAATTTCTCCCAGGAAGACCTCTTAAGCATAACTTTCAGAGCTCCAGAGTCTGGTCAGAAGAAAGCTGTGCTTAAAGGGAGGCTATAGAAATAATCTCAACTAAAAATATCATCCAGAAAAGAAGACATTTCAATCCCAACAGCAAATATTGCTAGAATATTTTCTTTAGTTTTCTTGTTTACTCACAGCAATTTCCTACAGATTCAGCTGAGCAAAGATGTTGGATTGGTGGCTGGGCAGTCACTAAAGAATTTTTTTTAAAAAAGAAGGAAAAAGAAACTTGCCTGAGAATTTTTGCTGCTTAAATGTCTTCAGTCCTTGGCTGTATTGACAACTACGCAAGAACTTAAATCTTCAGGCACAAGTAGGTTGAAAACTTATGTGGGTGGAGATTCCATTCTTCCTATCAGTATGAGGAGAGTAAAGGAGGAAGTGCAGCAGCAACCAACAGCTGAGCACTTTTTCTGGCATGGTTTCTGAAATCTGTTTGAATCCTGTGAAAGAAAAACACTTGGAATTCTCATGTAAAGAATGATTCTTTACTGGCAACAACATAAAATATCAGTCAATAGCTCCAGCAAGGTTATTAATTTGTCTCTCTCATTGTCAGCAGTCTTGGAATAATTAATTTTCTTCCTAATATCTAATGTAAATTGCAGAGATCCTGTGTGTACAGGCAAAGGTATAAACATCCCAAAAATTTTATTCTCTACTTCCCATCAGCAGGTGATCCAGCCACCTCCCAGAAAGCAGGGCTTCAGTCCACAGGTGGTTGCTGTATGTAAGCCTACTGCACTTATACTTACTAGCACTGTGGGAGTGCTATGGGGAAAATAAACTCCATCTTATGCATGGGGCATTTCTACTTTCTGTGGGCAGCCTGTTCTACTGTCTCACTACCCTCACAGTTAAGAATTTCTCCCTAACAACTAATCTAAAGCTACTCTCTTTCAGTTTGAAGCCCCCTTGTCCTGTCATTCTATGCCGTTGTCCAAAGTCTCTCTCCATCTTTCTTGTAGATTCGCTTCAGCTACTTCATGGCCACAGTTTGGTCACCCTAAAGCCTTCTCTTCTCCAGGCAGAGCAATTCCAGTTCCCTCAGCCTTTCCTTATAGGAGAGGTGCTCCATCCCTCTGATTGTCTTGGTGGCCTCCTCTGGACTCACTCCATCAGGTCCATGTCCTTCCCGTGCTGGGACCCCAGAGCTGGATGCAGCATTCCTGGTGGAGTCTCACCAGTGCAGAGAAGAGAGGCAGAATCACCTCCCTGAATGCACTTCCCAGCCTCCTCTGGATGCAGCCCAGGACACATTTGGCTTTCTGGGCTGCAGGTGGACATTGCTGGGTCATGTCCAGGCTCTCATCCATCAGCAGCCCCCAAGTTCTTCTGCCCAGGACTACTCTCCATTAGCCAGTTCTGTTAGGATTCTGGGATGTAGCTCTTTGGGTCCCATAGACTTTAGGTTCAGGTTCCTAAGATAATCATGGACCTGATTTTTCCTTACAGTGCAAGGGACTTTGTTCCCTCAGTTCCTATCCTACGGTCCATAGGCTTAAGAGAGTGGCAAGAGAAGTTGCCATTGGAGACAGAGGCAGAAGTCTTTGAGCACCTCAGCTTTCTCCTGCTCCATTGTTACCAGCTTTCCATCACTGTTTATTGTTGCAAGTTTAGCTTCTATAACCTTCTTTTTCTGGTTAACATGCCTAGAGAAGCCCTTGTTACTCTTTGTGTTGTTTGCCATGTTCAGTTCCAGATTTACCTTGGCCTTCCTCACCCCATCCCCATACAACCTGACTATCTCAATAATCTTGCCAGGTTACCTATACTTTTCTCCACTATCTGCAGACTTCCTTCTTTCCCTTTAGTCTGATCAGCAGTTTTTTACTCATTCCTGCTGGTCTCTTGCCTTCTCTGTTTGATTTCTTGCTCCTGGGGATTGATACCAGATTCCATAAGCTCCATAATATGCTGACAATGTAAATTATTAGTATGAAAGCTCATGTGAGGGTGAACAAGGACTATTCTTTTCTCCACTATCTGTGGACTTCCTTCTTTCCCTTCAGTCTGATCAGCAGTTTTTTACTCATTCCTGCTGGTCTTTTGCCTTCTCTGTTTGATTTCTTGCTCCTGGGGATTGATACCAGATTCCATAAGCTCCATAATATGCTGACAATGTAAATTATTAGTATGAAAGCTCATGTAAGGGTGAATAAGGACCTTGTGAGCCTGACTAATAAACCATCCAGATCAGTGCCAGATAGGAGAGATGAATTCCCTCATTGTCCCCACAATGCAGATACAGGACAGCAAAGCCAGCAATTCCAGGGCAAAACACAGAGACATTATTTCTATTAACATGTTCACAAAATAAGCAGAAAAGCAGCACAGCCAACAAGCTGTGACCTGCACAGGAGCTTGCCATGTAATACCTGCTATAGCTACAGCACACTTAATACAAAACTGCTGTTATCTTGAGCCCCATGTTGGGTGCCAAAAACGACTGTGGTGAGTTGACTTTGGATACCAGCTGCCCACCACATTCCAACATCACTCCCCTACTCAGCAGAACAGTGGGAAAGAAAATAAGAGGAAAAAACACCTTCTGTGTTGAGATCATGCAGTTTGCTAAAGCAAAAGCAAGGGTCATGTATGTGAAAACTGAAAGATTTTATTCTCTACTTCCCCTCAGCACGTTTTGTATGGCACTTCCTGGGAATCAGGGCTTCAGGACATGTAGTGGTTGCTCTGAAAGGCAAGCAGTGTAAATTAGGAATGCCTCTCTTCCTCCTCCTTTCTCTTAGCTTTTATTGCTGAGTAGACATCATATGTTATGGAATATTCTTTTGGTCTTTGGTCAACCACTTGATCTTTTTCTGACTCTTACACCAAGTTTTTCTTCTGAAGGCTGACAACACCAGAATGATTGATTAAACCACAACAAGCAGAGAAGGGTAAGGTACAAAATTTTTCTTTTTACTTTCAAGTTGTCTCATGGGAAGATTTGCTATTTTCCTCTCTGTGTTAAGCCCTGTGCTGGTTCTGCTTGTTCGTCTCGTACCTGGCAGGTCATTTACTGGTTTGTAACATTGCTCACTACTCTCAGTTATGCAACCATCCTGATAATGCAGTAATCCCCAAAGCATATAATTAGTGTGTATGACAAAGAAAACTCAAGACTGCTTATTGAGCGTCTCTTTTCTATTGCAGCTGTGAACCTGAGTAGCCCTTGGACAATGCTCTGTGTCAGATAAGCTGAAGTGAGGTCAAAAATCACTGCCTGTAGCTTTAAAACTGCTTTTGAAGCAGGCAATGAGCGATGAATTTCTTCAGTTCTGAAAAAGGGACATGAAGGTGGAACTGGCTGGCCCAGGAACTGGATTTCTTCTCTGGAGCCATGATTTACAGGACCACTATAAAAAAAGTCTCTGTAGAGAGTTTCCTCCAGGTTTCCTTTCACCTTTTCCTGAGTGCAAACTGGTGGCTGGTGTTTCCTCATCTAAAACACACTGTGCTTGTTTTATTTTATTATTGAATTTGATTTTATTTTTGCTTGTCTTTGTTTTCTTTTATTATTTTCATAGTATCAGACTTCAACTCGGATGAAGTCTACAAATCCTACATCAGTATCAAGCACTATGATATGGTTTTAAGTCTGATTAGCTTAATATTTTGCCTACACTTAATGGTCTATATAATATAAGGTACTATTTCTTATAAATTAAAATTTATATCGGATACATTTGAATGAATGTGTTTCTGTGTTATGCTTCATGTTTCTATGCTTCATATTACATTTCTCTTAAACTCAGGTCTCCCTCTGCTGGACAAAACACAATTTCTTTATTCCAAAAGATGTTGAAATATTTTGAGTTGAAAATTACATTTGATAGCTATTGCTATCCTTAGATACCAACCTGTATTCCTCATTCAGAAAAATGCATACTTTGGAGAAATGAACGATCACTCTGGACAGACCAAGGTGTCACTTTGAGGCTTCTTGAATTTTAAAACTGCATTCATCTCTTGGTGACTGAATTAAGCTTGATCTGACTGTAAGTCAGTGAGCAGCCTTAGGCAACAAAAGCTTTTGGTTCTGTGGGATACATTTAGACTCAATCACGAATACATCCTGCCACAGGCTCCTGGCCACCTCCATATGCTGTGGAGAACAATCCTGCAGGTGTCTGTAAAATAGAAACCCTACCAATCTACCAGACACTACCAACACCACCAATACCACCAATCTTGTGATGGGTATTTAGTATTGGGTTCCAGCCAGATACAGGTGAAATAATCATCACAGATATATTTATGCAGTAGCAAAGTAAGTACTAAAGGATATT